TAACAAATTAAATCTTAACTATTCAGTACTGAAGGATTTGGAGCATCTTTATTGCTTTTCAGTTGGTCACCATACAAATACTGATTTTATAATTGTCACTGCTATGAACATGAACATGTCATAATTAAAAAATAAAAAGGAGGGCTGGGGAGATGGCTCGTTGGATAAAGTACTCACCATGAAAGTATGAGGACCGGAGTTTGGATCTCCAGAACACGTGTAGCAGCCAGACCAGCCATGGCAACTCCAGCACTACAGAGGCAAAGATGGAGTCCCCAGAGCAAGCTGGCTCGCTAGACTATCCTGGATTGGCGAGCTCCAGATTCAATGAGAGACCCTGCCTCAAGAAAGAGTAAATAAGAAAAACATCGGCATCCAAATTTGGGGCTCCACATGCATCCAAACACACACAAACAAGCATACATACTACATACACATACACATTAAAAAGGAAAAATGTGATACAAAAACAGAAATATGTTCAGGTCATTTCAGAAGTCATCGGGAAGTCTACCAAAAATTCATTTTTTCTGAAACTCAAGTCAGCAACTCAAAAAGAAAATTTAAAAACAAGCTTTCTGGGGCTGGAGAGAGGGCTCAGCAGCTAAGAGCACTGGTTGCTCTTGCAGAGGACCTGGGTTCAATTCCCAGCACCCACATGGTAGCTAACAACTATCCATAACTCTAGTTCCACGGGATCCAACGCCTTCTTCTTACCTCCTCGAGCACTGTACAACATGGGTGCGCTTATACACATGCAGGCAATACACTCATACACATAAAATATTTAAAAACAAACTTTCTAATGTAATACAAACCAAAGACTTGTTCATTTGATACATCTGAGGAATGAGATGAGGAAAATTGTTTTCCACAACTAAACCACATTTCTATAAGAGCAAAAACTTTGAATGTACAGTAAAAACACTGCTATTCATACTTCATAAGCATACAGTGATTATGAACCTGAGCTGAGGTGTTTCAGGCAGTGTTCATTGGTGTCGCATGATATGATGGCATGTGTAGGGCAAAGTGTGCATTGTTGGGTATCAGAATTAAGGTAGTAGTGAAGTCACTTAATGGCAAGTACTGCCACAAACACCTCGGGTTCATTATGTTCTTGATTTCAAATTAACATTTAGATACTCATTATATATTAAGAAACCTTTTACTATTGCCAATTTTTTTCACAATTCCCACGTTCAGTTACATGGCCATATGGGGTCATGCCCAGAGTTTAAAAAGTTGTGCACTAGGGGCTGGAGAGATGGCTCTGCGGTTAAGAGCCCTGACTGCTCTTGCAGAGGACCTGGGTTCTATTCCCAGCACCAACATGGCGGCTGTGAACCGTCTTTAACTCCAGTTCCAGGGGAATCCAAAGCCCTCTTCTGACCTCCATGGCATTGCATGACACGGGTGCACTCACATACATGCAGACAATACACTCATACACACAAAATAAAGATGATAAAATATTGTTTAAAAGCTGTGCACTAATGGAGAGACTATCTTCAAAGAAAAGAAGCAGATGTACAAAGAGAAATGTAATAAAGAGACAGAATTGGAGGATGGTATTGATTCCTAATTTTCCAGTTCCTTGTCCTTGTCTCTTGTGAGACCTAAATTTGCCTCCTGCCCTTGGACACTATCAGTTACTCCCTCCAATAAACTGCCTTGTTGGAATAAATTTCTGCCCTTTACAATTTAACAACTTGAGACAAGCAAATTTAAGTCTAAAGTCTGAATGTGGTGGCTCAGGCTTCTAATCCCAGCTCAAGGCCAGCCTGGGCTACATAGTCAGACCCTGTTTCAAAAAACAAAAAACAGGAAGAAGGAAAAAAAAGAAAGAAAAATTACGTCTGAAATAAGTTGACATTTGAAGAAAATGGCAGTCCTCTGAAAATCAAGTGTGGTAGCACATGCTGTAATCCCAGCATTTAGGAGGCACTGTCAGAGTTCAAAGTCAGCCTAGTCTACATAGTAAGTTCCAGGGCCAGTGAGATTGCGGAGCACGTAAAGGCCCTTGCCACCAAACCTGACAAGCAGAGTTAAATTCTTGGAGTCTACATGGTAGAAACTAGCCAGAACTATATAGACCCTGTCTTTAAAATTAATTACTCAATTAATTAATTAATAATAGTAATAATAATAAAACACAGTTTCTATCCTGTGTAAACACAGAACCCTATCCTAAATGTCTTACTTCCTACTTGACTTTCTGGTCACATTCAGCCTTATTTCCCATTGCTAAGACAGAAATCCCTCCAGTCAGAAAAGAAACTTTTATCATATATAGGGTAAATAACAAGACTGAATTCCTTCTTTGAGTTCTGTGGAGAGACAAACTAGCTCATGTGCCTAGTACCTGATTTTACCTCATCCACAGTCTCACAACGCACTTATTTCTCCCTCCTGTGGAGTAGAATATTTATTAGTGGTAAAATAATGAATAATAAAATCATGAAGATTTATAATAAATCTTATTATAAATAAATAAATTTTATTATTTTATAATAAAATCAAAAATGATTTTCATGTTTGATTCTTTGAAATCCTTTTAGGCAGGATGTTATTGCTTAGCCCAGGCTGACCTGGAACTCACTATGTATGTAGCCCAGGCTGGTCTAGAAGTCTCAGTCCTCTGACTTCTGCCTCCTGAGTTCTGGAATTGCAGGCATGTGCCACGAGGCCCAGCTTCATATGAGATACTCTTAATCTTTTGAGATAGACAAGGATGGTATTAATAGCCCAATTTCTTCTTTTTTAAAACACTAGGGATCAAGCCCAACGTCCAGTTTGAAAAAACTAAAATTAAACTAAAGACGGGACAAGGGGCTGGAGAGATAGCTCAGCAGTTAAGCGCTGTAGCTGCTCTTGCAGAAGCCCAAGATTCAGTACCCACATGTTGGCAAACAACCATCTGTCTGCCTACAGCTCCAGTTTGAGAGGATCTGACTCCTTCAGGCCTCTTCAGGCATTGCATGTGCTTACATACATGCAGGCAGAACACTCATACACATAGAATAAAAATAATAAAAAAAAATGAAAGAAATTAAATTTATTCACTCCTAAAGTATTTACTAAGTATCTCTTCTGTTCTCAGAACATACTTTCTGGCACTCAGGGCTTTGTCTTCTAGGAGGAAAGGTAGACAAACAATTACTACAAAGTGATGTACGGGTGAAGAGAACCAGAATAGGTCTTCCTGCTTGTAGAAAGCCCCAGTCCCTTAGTTCTACACCCACAGTATACCCACAGTAACCTAATTTGAACACTATGATGAGACTCTTTAAATGAGAAGCCCAGACACCAGAAGTAACATGAGGGTCGGCCATTTGTTTCTTTTGTATATTTCTCCCCTAAATCACACCTAAAGTGCTCAAAATTTAACACATGTCCCATGCTGTCATCCTCCCCCCCAAAGCACAGCTCCCCTCATCTATTTCCTAGCTCATCTCCTTGCAGCACCACCAGATTCCCAACTACGCCTCCTCTGCTCACCCAGACCCTTCCTAGTTGTGAGTGCTGGGAGCTCACCTTTTTTTTTGCTCCTACGCCCCCTGCTGGGCCTTTTGTATACCTATCATTTCTTAGTGGGGCTTTGCAAGAGGCTAACCAAATCAGTTTCCACACCTTTTGATTGATTCCTGACACATAAACCTGATCATACCACTCCAGTAGTTGAAAAAAATTTGGATTCTCTGACTTGGTGGCCACAAAATCCAAAATCTTTAGCATAGCACAGAAAACTCTTTGCAAGGTGTGCTCCCAACCAGATACCCCCTGTCACATCTCACAAGCAGCTTCTTCAAAGGGGCCCTGCATACTCCACCACCCCCTCTTCTCAGTGAACCCTTATCCTTCACAGCACAGTTCAAGTGACAGCTCTTTTTAAAGCCACCCCTTCCTCTCTAGGCACCCCCTTCTCGTGTTTTATAACATTGTTTTGTAATGAATTGCACATGTCTTTTTCCACAAGGAAAATGAACCAAACAATGTCTCACTCCATGCCTAGGGAATGTCTGATGTGTAAATCAGCTCAATTCATTTTGTATACCTGTAACATAATACCTAACACTGAGTAGTTGACTTAAATTTTATTTCTCACAGTTCTAGGGCCTGGGAAGTCCTAGATCAGGTCCCCTGCATCCTTGGTCAGGGACTTCATACTTTGTCCTCACAAGGCAGAGTGCAGAGGGACCACCACAGTACCCTACCGTGGTTGAAGATAGAAGAGAGTAGAACCACTTCTGCAAACCCTTTTTTATAAAGCCCCCACCTTGTATGAGTGTGGATTTCTCCTGACCTAAAACCTCCCAGTGGGTCTCACCTCCCAAAAGTGCTGTATCAAGTATTCCAGTTCCAACACATGCATTTGGGGGAGGAATTGAAAGCAGCAATTAGCCCGAGTTTAATGAAAGAGAAAATGAATAAACAGCTTCTGCAGAGCTGTCAGGATTACAAAAGCAGAAGGCACCTTCCTGCCACCAGCCTCTAACCAAAGCTGCTGTCTTCCAGACTGTACACATCTGTGGGGCTCTGTGAAGAAAACAGCCAGCAGGACAGAGACAGTTCGTGTTTTTATGCATTCAGCGTTGCAGTCATTGCAATTGCCAGATAGTAAATACACTGTCTAAAGTCTTTCCGCTGCCTTTGCTAAAGACTTGGGCTGAGACTGTTGGGTAAACTTATTTTGGGGGGGGGGGGGTATAAATAGATCCAACTTATTTTTGAGGCGAGCCTGACATACAGATGATCAAGTGGCAAACTCTGAAATCTATTCGCAGCCGGGTGCCAGCACCCTTTTCTACCTTCCTGGGAAGCTGGCTGTCTCGTCTGCTCTTGGACCCTCCAGGGCTCCAGTCCCCGTGTGTGTCAGGGGACCGAGGCGTTCCCAGGGGCCCGGAGCCCCGCCCAGAGCCCCGCCCCGACACCCCGAGAGCCGGAGGCGGGGGGGGTTGCCCGCCACGTGGAGCGCGGGCTGGATTCTCGGAAGCGCCTGCGCCGTTGCCGCGGCGCAGCTCAGGTCGTGCCCGTCGGCCCCACGTCAGCTGCGCAGGCCCTGCGGCCCAGGTTTCTCCAGCTCGGCTGACGCAACGCTGGAGAGCCGGGACGTAGACGGAAGACACAGCTGAGGAGTAGCCGCTCGCAGCCCGAGTGCAGAGCGGGCCCGGGCGGGGGTCGGCGCGGCGGGCAGGTAGGCTTGGGCGCGGCGTGGGCAGAGGGATGCGCGCCGGGGACCCGGGAGGCGTGGGCGCGGCAGGTGCGGGCCGTGGGAGCAGGTCGGGTGGCGGCGGTGCGTGGCACCCCGGGTGCCAGAGATGCTCCGGCACCGTGCCGCGTACCGGGGCGCGGCGGCCCTGGCGTCTGCAAATGGCTCCGGGCAGCGACCTCCCGGGCCATCTCTGGGTACCCCTCCAGGTGGAGGCAAGTGGAGGCCGGAGCACCTGGCAGCCACTTCCCAGCCAGAGTCTCGAACCAGCTTGCAGTGTCCCCGCGCTTCTGGTGTGATAAACCTGGTGTGTAACGCGCCGCTGACACTCCCCGGGCCTGTGTCTGCAGTTGTCTGGCTCGCGCCCTGGCATATGGAGAGTGGTGCGTTGGTGATTCTCCTCGCAGCCAGGGATTCTCCCAGGGCCCCCCTTTTGCAGTATAGTGCAGAGTGTGATAGTTCTTTCCTGGCACAACTGGGTGCATCCAGATTTTCCACCCCACCCGCCTTACCTGTTCCCGCAGCATTATCTTCCCTGCCTAGACCCCCCTCCTCACCCCGAGGCGCTGACATTTATCTTTGGTCTTTTGTCTTTATGGTAAGTGGTGAACCTCGCGCCCAGCATGTGTTTCTGGATGGTGTATTGGGACTGAAGTTCACTTCTCTAAGTCAGTGAGATAAGGGCGTTCTGTGTGGATGTGTATAGGTACTTGAGAAATATCGTGAGTCAAAACATGGGAACCTCTCACTTTATGATTTTGAGTCCCCGACACACCCTTTGGGCTTTATGATAGCTTGTCTGGTTTCTGCAGGCTTAAGAAACTGGCAGAAGGAATTGGCAGTCGCTATGAAGGAGTGGGCTAGCCTCCCAAGGACAGTCAAACAAGTGGTACAGAGGAAGTCTTCACTAGATAACAATGCATCTTAAGCATTCAGTTACCTCCCAGAAGAGAGGAGTAAACAGTACAGAATATGTGTGATCAGATTATCTTTTTTCAAACAGGGTCTTATGTAGCCCAGGCTGGCCTCAAACTGGCTATATGCCAAGGATGACCTTGGATTTCTGATTGTCTTGCCTTTACTTCCTGCAAGTGCTAAGGATTCCATGTGTGTGCCACCATGCTTGACTGCCCATCACGACTCTTTTGACTTGTGTCTGTGAAGGAAATAAAAAGTGGAAAGGTTAATGAAATGCGTTTTAAAAGACAAGAGGGAGACTGACAGTTATTATTGACCATCTGTTGTACTCAAGCACTTTCCATGAATTGCCTCATTTAATTCTCATGGAAATTTCGGAGTATTTACTGTTGTTTCTCAAGTTAGCTCTCCAAAAGGCACACTCCTAGCAAGTACAGAGCTCAAACCTCAATCATTTGAACTCCGAAGTCATGTTCCCTGTTTACCACCTGCCAATGGGAATTTGACAGTTCATTCAGGGAAAGCAACAGTAATGCACTAACTGGCTCACCTGGAGGATTGTATCCACCCTTGATGACTACAGTTATGGGACGATTATATAAAGTGAGTACAACTAGAATTATGTCACTCTTGGCTCTTTAGAGGTATTTTGCCGATTTCATTTGTAAATGATTTGGGTTTTTTCAGTCTTTTTGAGACAGGATCTTCCTGTATCCCCAGCTGGCCTGGAACTTGCTAGGTAGACCAGGCTGGTCTAGAACTCACAGAAATACACCTGCCTCTGCCTCCTTTAGTGCTGGGACTAAAGGTGTGTGCCACCACGCCTGGCCATTTATAAATAATCATTTAGCAGCTATTACTGAAAGGATTTATGTATGTGTCAAACATAAGCTGTGGGGGGCTGGAGAGATGGCTCAGAGATTAAGAACACCTACTGCTCTTGTCTTCTGACCTCTTTGGGCAGTGCACAACATGGGTGCACCTACCTTCATGAAAACAATATACTCATACACATAAAATAAAAATAATAAATAAAATTTTTTTAAAAAAATGGGCCATGGGCCCACATCATGCTATAGTTCATGCAGACACTCATACACATTAAATAAAAATAATAAATAAATTTTTTTTAAAAAAATGGGCCATGGGCCCACATCATGCTATAGTTCATGCAGACACTGAAGTCAACAAAGCCGTCACTTAACATAGTCAATTGCCAGCACATTAGCTGCCATGTTTTGTTTTTTTGTTTTTGTTTTTTTATTTTATGTGCATGAGTGTATTGCCTGGATCTACATGTATGTAAGTGCACCCATATCGTGCAGTGCCTGCAAAGGACAGAAGAGGGCATCAGACCCCCTGGAACTGGAGTTTTGAATGGTTGTTATCCACCATGTGGGTGCTGGGAATTGAACCCCAGTCTTCTGCAAGAACAGCTAATGCTCTTAGCTGCTGAGCCATCTCCCCAGCCCAGTTGCCTATATTTTATTGCAGAATCCTGTCCGTCTCTTCTCTCTCCATTTCTGTGACTTTGTGCAGTATAAATTGTAAAGCAGTTCCTGTTACTTCTTGTTTTTTCTTTGTTGTGAGCTAAATGCTAATTTTTTGAGGCACACTTAAGAGTTGGGGACCTGGCGAGGTAGCTCAGAAAAGTACTTGCGGTGCAAGCATGAAGACCTGAGTTCAGATCCCTAGCACCCATGAAAAAGCTAGGTGTCGGGGGTGTGCATCTATAACCCCAGAGCTGTGGGAAGGACACAGATGGATCCTAGAACTCGCTGGCCAAGCAGTCCCTGAAACAGCAAGCTCCAGGATGAATGAAAGACTGAAAAACTAAGGTAGAGAGTGGTAGAAAAAGACACCTGATGTCAACCTCTGGATGAGAAAATGTCCTTAACCATCATGTCTTCAATGCTAAGATTTCCAGCTGTGTAACTCATCCTCCATGGGATGTACTCATGACTGTTTAAGATGCCAGCCAGTCTCAGTGAGTAAAGGTGCTTGCACTGCAAGCCTGACCACCACAGTTTGATCACCAGAACCCACAGTGGAAGGAGACAACTGACTCCTGAGGATTGCCCTCTGACCTCCACATGCATGCTATGACATGCACATGCTAGTAGTCACACACACACATGCACACATCATATGCTAACTCACACAATAATAAATAAAAAACAAAAATAAGGGTATGATGGTGTATACCATTAATTCCAGCACTCAGGAGGCAGAGGCACATGGATCTCTGTGAGATTGAGGCCAACCTGATCTACATAGTGAGTTTTAGGCCAGTTGGGGCTACAGAGACACCCTGTCTCAAAAGGCCAAAAATAAATGAATTAATTCAATAACAAAATACTAACCATTTGCATGCACTGCCCCCCCCCCCCCAATGCCAGCATTACTGTGTTACTTTAGATTCCTGTGGGGTCAGGAATAAGGACGTGGCAACAACCTCTGGCTTTTCAGTGTTGTCAAGAATCGAGCTGACGTTTTCAATACAAGCCTCCACATTAAGTTGGGAGTTGGCTGGAAGGGTGTAGATAGCTGTAGGAGACTAGATTTTTACTCTGTTGAGAGAGGCTCTAACAGTATAGGTAATATAACAAAGTGTTAATATCAGTATAGAAACATTGTAACTTAAAACTATGTTGTCATTCAAAATATTCATCTAATTACTCTTTGATGTCTAAAAAGTGAAGCAGTCCTGAAAAAAGGAAGGGCCAAGCTTGGGGCCTGAGTGGGACCGCCTGTTCTTTTTCTTCTAACACAGAGGAGGTGGTGGGAGTTTCCCTAATACAGAAGAGGGAAAGTGGACAGAAGTACAGTGAAGAGTTTTCATAATTTCCCCCTTTTAAACATTCATTCCACAGGTGCTTGGATTCGTGACCACATCTCAGCATGTTGAGGCGAATGTACCACTCCGGGTTCCAGGCCTTCAAGCACCGTCTTCTGCCGTGGCTCCAGTCCACAGCTGTCCCCAGATCTCGTATGTACACTGATGAAGATGTGGGATGTTTGGTGGTCAAAGTATGTAGCAAGGCATGTTTTAAAGGAGAAAAAAAAGATGTAGTTTGGTAGAACTATATAGAAGCAAGGAGGCTGCCTGCTGGTGGAATTCTCCAAATATTTGTTTTCGTCAATACCCTCACCTAAACAAAGTTTCCACCAAGGTCCTGGCATTAATATAGTCTAATTACTCCACAGCATGTGATGTCCATGTTTCTTTTTTGTTACTGCCCCCCTCTTCCTCACCCCTAACCCCTGGCCACCATTAATCTGTTTCTATATTGTTAAAATTTTATCATTTGAAAAATGTTATATAAATGGAATCATATGATGTATGACTTTTGGGGTTTTCTGAATTGCTTTGTTTTGTTTTGTTTTCTAAGACAGGCTCTCACTATGTAGCCCTGACTGGCCTTGAACTCAGAGATGCACCTGACTTTGCCTTCCCAGTGTTGGTAGGAAAAGCGTGCTACCACTCCTAGCTTATGGAAGTTATTTTCAAACTCAAATCTGCTTTGTTTTGTTTTTTGTTACTCAGCGTGATTCTCCAACGATTAATCCTAGTCCAGGTGTATCAGTTACCAGTTCCTTTTTAATCACTGAGTATTATTTCATGGTTAGAGTGAACTATATTTAATGGTATAGGTATACCGCAATTAGAATAACCATTCACTCATTGAAGGACATCTCGGTTTTTAACCTTTTGGAGTGAAAATAAGGCTGCTTTGAACTTTTGTGTACAGGTTTTTTGTGTGAACATAGTTTTCATTTCTCTGGGGAAAATGACCCACATATTGGAGCACATGGTAGTTACAAGTTTAGTTTTACTAGAAACTGCCAAACTTTTTGTAGAGTAACTGAACCATTTTACATTCCCACCAGTGATGTGTGAGTGATCCACTTTCTCTGCCTCTTCACTACCACGTGCTGGCACTCTTTACTTGAATCTTTTTGATGCATGTATAATGATATCACATGCTGATTTAACTTGCTAGTCCCTAATGACTAGTTATATTGGGTATCTTTTCATATGCTTATTTGACATATGAATACCTTTTACAGTGAAATGTCTGTCTGTATCATGTGGGGGGGGCGCTGTATGCATGAACACTGGTGCAGAGGCCAGAGGAGGACATCAGGTGTCTTCTTCTATTAGTGTCCTCCTGATTGCTTTGAGACAGGGTCTCTCCCTGAAGCAGAAGGTTGCCATTTAGGATAGGCTAGCTGGCCAGCAGACTCTTGGATTTACCTGTTTCTGCTCTCCTCCCCACCCAAATCCTGAAGTTATAAGCGTGTACAACTTTAACCAGATTCTTACATGGGTGCTGGGGATTTGAAATCAGATCCTCATGCTTGCAGAACAAGCAAGTGCTCTTACCCTCTGAATCATCTCCCCAGCCTCTGTTTTATCATTTGTTACTTTTAATTAGAGTATTTGATTTCTTCCTGATGAATTTTACGAATTCTTTATGTCTTTTAGATACTAGTCCTTAGTGAGCTACGGTTTGCAAATGTTTTCTTCCAGTTTGCTAACCTGTCATTTCATTCTCTTAACAGAGTCTTTCACAGAGAAAAGCTTTTTATTTTGATGTGTTCCAAGACACTGGTTTTTCATTTTGTGGATTTTACTTTTGGGGTCAAGTCTAAGAACCTTGTGTACAGCCCTAGATACTAAGGTTTTCTCTTGTGGGTTTTATTTTGTTTTGTCTAAAAGTTTCATAGTTTTATAGTTAAGTTTATCATCTATTCTGAGCTCATTTTGCATTAGGTGTGAGACTTAGGTCAGTGTTTGCTTTTTTGATATACGGATATCCTGATATTCCAGCATCCTTTGTTGAGAGGCTGTTTGTGATGTCTTGAGCTGGCTTTGTCCTCAGCATCACCCAAATCTTATCAGCTCACTATAAGGCAACTTGCTTATCATTGTCAAACTATCTCTGTTTCCCATTTGTGTAAAGAGTATAAGTGTTGAAAATTTAACATCTGGAACCAGCCTTCCTGAGTTTGAAAACCAGTTCTGTTGGTTACAAATTAAATAACTTGGTTACTTAAAACAGTAATTGTCTATTTAGGTCATTGTTCTGTGGGTTGGCATTTGGGTGTGGGCTTAGCTCACAGTGGGTATATGTCTGTCATTTGCACACTGATTCAGGGAGCATCGCTGGCCCAGGGCCTCCTGCTGGGGTGCTAGGTCATCTATGTTCTAGGCGGTCGCCTACTCTCCAGCACCTATCAGCCCACCCTCTAGCAGCTATCCACCTGTTGATTGGAGAAGCTACAAAATATATTTTGTAATCTGGTAATACTGGTAACTTACTCTGTTTTTCTTGGTCTCAATTTTCTTATTTATAACAGGGATAATAGCTAACTTATAATTCATATCTTTTTTGTTTTTTAGATTTAGTGTGAATGAATGTTCACCTACATGTATGTATGTGCACCACATATGTGCCTGGTGTCTGTAGAGAGCAGAAGATGATGTCAGATCCCCTGGAACTTTAATAATAGATAGTTGTGAGCTGCCATGTGGGTGCTGGGAACTGGAACCTCTGCAAGAGCAACACGTACTTTGAACTGCTGAGCCATCTCTCTAATCTCTCTAATGCATATGTCTTTTTTTTTTTTTTTTGGTCTTTTTGAGACAGGGTCTCCCTGTAGCCCCAGCTAGCTATGTAGCCCAGGCTAGCCTTGAGTTCACAGAGATCTTCCTTCCTCTGCCTCCCAAGTGCTGAGACTAAAGGTATGTGCCACCATACCTGGCGCATAAGTCTTATAAGAAATCTGTTAAGAACATGATCATTGTTAGTCAGTTTTCTGTTGCTATGACAAAATATGTAAGGGAATGTGTACAAGGAATCAAGTGTATATGACTAGTTAGCACAATTCTGCTGTACAGTAAATTGTTTTTAGGCAGGATCTCACAAAATAGCCCAGGCTGGTCGCAAACTTTCTTTGTATCTCAGGCTGGCCTTGAACTCAAAATCGTCTTTCCTTAGCCTCCTGAGCAAGACTCAGTGCCCACCCCCAGTGATGTACTTCCTCCAGCAAGGCTGCATCTCCTAAAGGTTCCATAACCCCCCTAAACAGTGCCACCAGCTGGGGACATTTCTCATCCAAACCACCATAAAAGGTATATGGAGAAAAACACAGAAGTGAAAGGCCAGAAAGAGGGAGACACTGTATCAGGATCCCTTCTTAAGTCCTCAAAGGCAGCCTCGTTGATCACTAACCTCAGACTCAGTCGATGATGTAGTAAAGGGCTCCTCATTCCCCAAGTATAATTCATGGCATGCTTAGAATATGGACATCCCCTTCCACACCTACCTTGCCACATGTAGAAGTGTGTGGCGGAGGAAACAGCTTACTTCAAGGCAGCCCTAAAGCAGGAAAAGAAGGACTAAGGTCATAATAGGCCCTTCAAGGACACACCACCAGCAATCTCACTCTTCTTCTGCTAGGACCACCCCCAGTGTTCTATATGCTGGAGACCAAGGCTTCAGCATGTGTCTGTTGGGGGTGTTTAAGGTCCAAACCACAGCAGTCTTCAATGTAAGCCCTAAAAAGTATAATCTGCTGAAGAGTATGAAAAATACCCCAAGAAGCCAGATGTAGATGTGGCGGTGCACTCCTGTAATCCCAGTACTCAAACTGCAGAGGCAGGAAGATCAGGAATGCAAAGCCAGCCTTGGCAACATAAGGCCCTGTCACAAAGATGGGTTGTTCTGGGGGGTTAGATGACATTGTTCAACAGGAAACTCCTTAAACCCTGAATTCCTTGAAGCTTTCCTTAGATGCCCCATTGGACTTGACTGAGTTCTTATCTGCTTGAAAACTTGCTTATAGTTGTGACCTCCTCTTGAACCTTGTCATCCCTAATCTCCTGTGACCCAGTTGCCTACAAGTCGAATGACCCTTGACCCTCACTCTGAGCCGGGCCACCCCGACCCCCTCTGCTGACAGAGACTGTGGCTCACAAGTCTCCTTCATGCTGACCCAGCTGCTGGATTCTGATTACTTTCTGCCATTTGACCACCTGGACTAACATACTAGTTTCTCCCTATGCCCCTGAGGTACCCTATCAGGCTACCCCACCCTTTCCAGACAAGATAAGCAGAGCAGAAGATGGGCAAGAGAAATGGCGAGTCAGCAGGCCTGATTCTGACAACTGCCAAGGGGATACATGATACTTAATGGAGCTTTGAGCTCTGCAAAAGCCACTGATGATCTCAGGTCTGAACCCCAAGGGCATTAAGCCTGTCTCTCTACCACCCTTCTCCCTTTTGGGCTTAGGTGTTCATATAATTGGAATAATATCCCTGAAGACTGAGGTAGGGCACCTATATTGACTAACCTGGAGGAGACAGGCAGCTCCAACAATATACCAGTATTTAGTCCCTGGAATGTCCCCAGCAGGAAGAGATGGTACACCTGTGGGTCCAGTAAGGGTGCTACAGCCTCCCTTCTGTGCCAGATGGTGCCTCAGTGAGCATGTGCCCCTCATATCTCTGTGCCAGGAGCTAGACCGCAAGCCTGTTGTGAAAAGATCAAATCGTCTTTGTTGCATTGCCATGACCTGAAAGAGTCACTTTAAAGAGTGGTTACATAGGCCAGGTGTGGCAACCCATACTGGTAATCCCAGCACTTGGGAAGCAGAGGCAGGAGGAGCACCATAAATTCTTAAGTTCAAGGCCAGCCTGGGCTACATAGTGTAGCATGAGTGTGAAGCAAGCCTGAGCTGCATAGTAGTAAGACCTGGTCTCAAGAAAAGAAAAAAGAAAAGAAAAAAAATTCTGGGCCAGATGTGGTGGTACCAGGGCTACATAGTGAGATCTTGCCTTAAAAAGAATGATTTGTGAGTGAAGGAAGCCTGTGGTTGGGGAATACGGTGAGCCGCCTCTCCATGCACCATCGTTACAGCATGGGGAATGGAGGTGGAAGTCAGGGTATGGTTAGGGAAGGAGTTAGTGGTCAGAAAATAAGGGCAAAGGAGTTCTGAGACATCTGTCTGGAATTATAAAAGGGGGTGATAGTGTTTGACTTTGAAGGTGGTTACTCTGTAGTCGTAGAGTTAACAATGGAATAGTTACCTTAGTAATTCATTCTATAATGATGTATAGGGAACTCTGTAGGAATTGCCTAGATTTTAGGCTTACTAAGAGAAAACCTATGTTACCTGTTAATGTTTCTCGTTGCCAGGAAGGATCCCATTGAGCAAAGGTCTGTTTGCTGTAAACTAATCACCTCTCCCTGTGCTTAGTGCCTCTTCCCCCACCTGGGCCTCACCCTGCCTGTCAGCCATATTCTCATTCTCCAGGCAGATACAGTCAGATGCAGGTAACTGGAGATGGATATACAGCGGCTGAAGCAGAGGAGCAATGCATTGCCCTGTCCTTCTGAAGAGGCTGGCAGCCCTTCATGAAGGCAGCACGGCACCATGGAGTCATCAGAGTCTGTGCACGTTTCTTCCTTACTGCTTCAGTTTCTAATGTTTTCTTGTCCTAAATAGACACTTGAGCTCCAGCCTTCATAACTGCTGTATCAGATATTTTCTCATCACTGCAACATAAGGGAGGAAGTGTTTCTTTTGGCTCAGAGTTCAGAGAATGGCATCCATCACAATGGGAAGGCACAGTGTCAGGAGCTTCTTGGTGAGAAGGGAACACCAGTGATACCATGTACATGAAACTAAATATCATGAGAAGTTTCCTGTTTGTAACAATTCTAGAAATATTCCTCTTTATCTGTGTCCTTTTTTTGGACATTGACTCTGCTGATTTTTTTCCAACATAAGTAGCATTCTGATGAACAGCATACAGACAGATATCTTTGTTCCCTAGTATAAATTTTGGTACACAGAACTATTCGACCAAAGCATTGAACATTTTTAGCTAGATGTGGTGCATGCCTTTAATTCTAACGGTCCTGATACAGAGGCAGGTGAATCTCTTTGAAGATTGAGGCCAGCCTGGTCTACATTATGAGTTCTAGGCCATCTGGGGCTACAGGAAAACCCTATCTCAAAAAACCAAAACATTGGACTTTTTTTTCTTTTTGGTCTTTTTGAGACAGGGTCTTCCTGTAGCCACAGCTGGCCTGGAACTCACTAAGTTGATCAGGCTGGCCTAGATCTCACAGAGATCCACCTGCCCGTGCCTTCCAAGTGCAGGAATTAAAGGCATGTACCACCATGCCTTGCTATGTTGGACATTTTTTACCTTCTGATATATTTTACCAACATGTCTCAGGAAAGATCATTTCATGTCCATTTTTCATCATCAGTGTTTACTCAAACTCTGTGACCTGTGGGTATAAATTATACAGTACTAGAATAGGAACATATGTGCTAGAGACCATTTCGATATGCTGGTTTCACTCAGTTAATAGCAATGAAGCCATTTTGGGTGGGTAACCTGGTTAACATTGTGCATGTACCTTTTCATTGAAAACTTAATGTGTCTCATTTTCTTGCCTTTGACTTTGGGAGCAACAGATTGTGTCCAGCCTTCAACAATCAGACATGTTCGTTCTTGGAGCAACATCCCTTTTATCACAGTACCCCTCAGTCGTGCCCATGGCAAGCCCTTTGCCCACCGCAGTGAGCTGAAGCATGCCAAGAGAATCGTGGTGAAACTGGGCAGTGCTGTGGTGACCCGAGGAGATGAATGTGGCCTGGCTCTAGGGCGCCTGGCATCTATTGTTGAGCAGGTAATTCCCAAGGTAGAAAATTTTGCTAAGCTAGAGTAGGGTCTGTGAGTTAATTCCACTGTGTCAGCTGGTAAGATTGTGCATGCATGCGTGTGTGTGTGTGTGTGTGTGTGTGTGTGTGAGATACTGAGTACTGAACTTCAGCCCTTGCACGTGCTAGGCAAGTGCTCCACCACTGAGCAATATACTCAGACCTCATTCTGCTCTTTTATTTTGAAAAAGGGTCTTATAAAGTTGTCCAGACTGCCCCTCCACTTGGAATCCTGCCTCAGCTTCCTGAGTAGCTGGGATTACAGGCCTATGCCATCAGATCTGACAAAAAAAATCTTGATGTGAATACAGTAGCTTCAATGCAACATAAAACTACTTTTTTCCCAGAGTAGATGTCAGTGGAAGCTAGCCTCCCAGGGGCAGGAAAAAGAGGTGCCAGGAAATTGAGCTCATGCCATGCAGCCGGATTCTCAGACTTCTTAATGATAAGGAGCTGTGTGTGTCCCCGACTGTTAATCCTGCATGTATGCGTGAATCACCTGAGGGGCCTGGGGGCTCCTGGGGTGGTGCAGCTCTGCTTTTCCAATTCCCCCGTGGCTCTCATGTGTAGTCAGAGTTGAGTATACCGATTGTATGTAAGTCCTGAGCTTTTTGGCATTTTTTTCCCCTTTCTCTCTTCCCTTCCCCTTCTTTCGGGGGCTCCTGGGGTGGTGCAGCTCTGCTTTTCCAATTCCCACGTGGCTCTCATGTGTAGTCAGAGTTGAGTATACCTGAGCTTTTTGGCATTTTTTTCCCCTTTCTCTCTTCCCTTCCCCTTCTTTTTCCCCTCTTCCCTTCCTTTGTTTTGCTAGTTTGATTTAAAAAATTGAAAGTCATCTGTGTATGCCAGAGATTGGCTCAGCTCTGTCCTTTATAGTATATCTTCAGTTTTCACAAAACACCTTTGCCAAGAACTGATGTTATTCCATCAGTTCAGTTCAGTAAATATTTAGCAAGGATAGATGAGTCTGTTTCGTTACTATGACAGCATAGCACAGACTAGGTGATTATAGTAAACTGAAATGTATTTGATTCATGCTTCTGAAGACTAGAAAGCATATGGTCAGGGAGCCACATCTGGTGAGGGGCATTTTGCTGCATTATTTTGTGGAGAAAAGGCACAACAAGAGCAAAAGTTAAACCTTGTGGCTTCGAGCCCTTTTTAATGGGCATTATTTCATTCATGAGGGCAAAGCATTCATGACCTGAATACCTCCCATTAGCTCCGCCACCCAACACTGTTGCATTGTTTCCAACATATGCTTTCTATGGGACACAAACTATAGCAAGGGGCTACTGTGCAGTACCTAATAGAGCACTAGCTGTTGTCTCTGCCCTGGTGAGTCAGAACTGGGACTCTTAAAATGATTGAGTGAATGGTCAAGGTAGTTAAGTATCCAAAGGAGTACACCCAAATCTCAGTGGCTGACAGGAACAGAGATGGGAAGGTCAACTGAGAATATGGCTGTTCTTAGGGTTTCCTACAGTGACTGAGCCTGGGTGTTGGTAATTGTGGGCCTTGAGTTTGTGAAGAGAGAAGCGAAGTTCCTATTTGCCAAGTGTACTTGGTGTGACTGGTAGCTCTGAGGTTGTGTGATACAGAGGTTCTAAGGAAGGAATGGGCTTATGGAGTGAATTCTAGGTGGAGAGCAGAGCAGATTCTAGGTGGAGGAAAGATAGGGCTGGGCAGGAGGGAAGCTTGAGAACGGTGGCAGGATCCCCAAGGAGGCTGGAAAGCAATGTGGAGGGTCACAGAAGGTGGGGCTCTAGACCTAGTTGAGAGCTGATCAACCTTGAAGTAGATGAAAGATTTGGATCTAAGGAGAAGCTTGATAAAAATGGCAGAGGTAACCTGGCAAAATTTTTCTCAGGCCGTCAGCCCCCCATCTGATGCTGCTGTGGACCTGATGGAAAGGCTGTAACAAATGAAGAGCATGACAGTGGGCAGCCAGAGCAGGAAGCTGAGAGCCCGTGTTATTGCTTCAATAGCAAGCATGAAGCAGGGAGTGAAGTGGGGCCCGGGTATAAACTCTCAGAGCCTGCCACGGATACATCCTTCTCCAGCCACACCTTTTAAAGCAGCACCATCAACTGGGGACCAAGAGTTAGGGTTATGTCTTAGATGATGATGATTTTGTGAATGTGTACACATATGCTCCCTGGGTTTTAGTGACACCTTCTGAGATAGCTACAGATGGAGTGATGTTTGTGGGACCTGGGGTTGATATTAACGCAATGGTGGTGGCGCGGAGGCATTACTGGAGAGGAGCATTGGAGGTAGTTATCAAAACTGGGTGTTTAGTACATGGGATTTATAAAATTATCCTCACCACTTTGATTAAATACTGAAATTTTCTAAGATTAAAAAAATTTACTATTTTATGGGGCTGGAGAGATGACTCAGTAATAAGCGCACTGGCTATTCTTGCAGAGGCCTCAGCACACACGGTAGCTAACAACCATTCGTAACGCCAGTTCCAGGGAATCTGACCCTCTTCTGGCCTCTGTGGGCACTGCACGCATGTGGTACACTTTCATACATGCAGGCAAAACACCTATACACTTTAAAAATGAATAAATAAATATTACTGTTTTAGATCATAGTTCTTAATGACCACTAGTGTGTTCCTAAAAAAGTTCGTAGAGTTCAGTCAACAGGAGGAATGGACAGTTTACGAGTTTTGACCCTTGCATTTTGAGCCTTTGATTTTTCCATGTGGACCTATCTAAGATGTAACACGTGGGGCTGGAGAGATGGCTCAGTGGTTAAGAGCACTGACTACTATTGCAGAGGACCCAGGTTCGATTCCCAGCACCCATATGGTGGCTGCGAACCATCCTTAATTCCAGTTCCTCCCAGCCCTTTTCTGACCCTCATGGCATTGCACAACACGGGTGCACTCATATACATGCAGGCAATATACTCATACACATAAAATAAAAATAATAATAATAAAAAAAAAAGATGTAACACACATGGTCACAGCTGGTTCTGGGCAGATAGAGCAGAACAGGGTCAGCCTCTGCCCCTGGTAAAGGTGACTCTTAAGGATCTGGTAGGTGTCCTCCCATTTCCCAGGCTAACCTTAGAGCCTGGGAGCTGCCTGCAGTTCCTAGCTCCAGGCTTCTCTTGTGGGCTTTATTTCCTAGAGCAAGGCTGCTTTCTGCATCATAGACTGAGAGTCTGTGTCCTGCAGATTCCAAAGCTGACCTCATGCCAAAGTCACCTTATAAAACATCTGATTTCTGTCTGCCACCCATAAGCAGAAAATTGAGGCAGTGTATAAAAATCTGTTTCTGCCAAACAACCTGGGCCATTCTTCCAGAGCCAGCAGTGCTGTTCCTTAGACCAGCATTGCAAGTTCACACGTCTGCCCTACTTGGGTCTCGTAAAGAGGGGAGAACAGGTGCAGGGACTTGTGGTATGCTTTCCTTTTTCCACACTAGGTCTCGGTGCTGCAGAATCAGGGCAGAGAGATGATGCTGGTGACCAGTGGAGCTGTTGCCTTTGGCAAGCAGCGCTTACGTCATGAGATCCTCCTGTCTCAGAGCGTGCGGCAGGCCCTACACTCAGGGCAGAACCAGTTGAAAGAGATGGCAAGTACTGCTTCCTCAGCCCTGCCATGGTGTCCTTAGGTCTTCTTCCCTCCTGCCCAACCACTCTTTGTCTCATTGGTGTATTGCAGGCAGTTCCAGTTCTAGAGGCCCGTGCATGTGCAGCAGCTGGACAGAGTGGGCTGATGGCCTTATATGAAGCCATGTTTACTCAGTACAGCATCTGTGCTGCCCAGGTGAGAGACAAGGCTTCCCTGGAGATGCGGGACAGGTGAGGGAAGTTCCTGTGGAGTAAGACGAACAGGATTCTACAGACAGGTGCCAGTGTGCTGGCTAAGCTTCACTACTTGCTCCTTGGGAGCTCTAGAGAAAGTCTTTTAAGTCTGGACAAGGGGCCCTTCATCTGAAAAATGAGAGTAATATCAGTGCCTACTTCAGAAGGTTTTAGGAAGGACTCAATAAGAAAATGTCTGGTACATTCTATGTTCTTAGTGAGTGTTATCCTGAGAGTTATCACAGCAGTAACTCTTGGGACTGCTGCAAGTGTAAATAAATACTTCTGGACATAGAAAAGCTAGACATTGGTTTCCCTGTTTCTTTGACTTCGGGTAGCTTGCTTCTCTTTGCACGTGGTGCCTTTTACAGTAGATATCTACTGAGGATTGAAGGGAAAGAAGAGATGGTGGTGGTTGGTTGGTTTTGTGCTTATTGGGCACATATTGTTTACAAAGCAGCCTACTGGGCATTGAGGATCCTTTGGCCCAGAAGTCAGACAGGTCCTCGTGGGACTTAGAAATGTTTAAATGTTATGGAGCCATCTTTGTACACTATTTCATTTTTACCTAAATTTCCTTATTTTTAATTGTATTTTTATTCAGCTGTACAGCCATGCACTAAATAAAGATATATAAACAGCAGTCACCTTATGACACAATTGGAAAAAAGTCTAATTCCCCAAGTTATTTGCTAGGTCCTACACTGCCTCTGATCATGCTGTTTGCGTGGACAGTATTTCACACAGAAGAATATCATATTTTGTGTCTTCATTTCTTACTTACTTTTTCTGACTGTCATTTCACAGTTGTCACCCCTAGTAATGTTCTGGTATTGTTTCTGTTCTGGAGTAAGTGTGTTGACTCAAAAAGGCCTGGCGTTGTTTCCTTGTGGCCTGTGGCTATGGTCTTAGGTTTAGTTTCCCATTAGTATAAACACCATCGAAATCTCCATTTCTATTACTTCCCAGCTCTGTCTTCTGCAATTCATCCACAGTGTTAGTTTTTTTGAGTGCCTGAACCTAGGTAAGGAAACTTAGTCCAGGAGCTATACTTTTATTATATTTTATTTTTGTCCCAGGATTAATGATTTTGGACAGTTGTTGTTTTGCTTTGTTTGAAGTGACAAAAGCACTAGAAGTCAGTGCACACCAGCCATTCCTTGCATTAATATTATGATGTAAAAGGTCTGCGCCTTCAGTTCTGAGCAGACACCCATCCCTGGGCCTCTCCTTCCACACTTGCCCCCACCCCTCCTAAGGCTTATCAGTCTGCTCTTTGTCCCTGGCTCTGTGGGTCCTTGTTTTCTTCAGGAAGACCACTATCAGCAGATTTGAGAATCTACGAAGTTGGCCCCCAGGTTAAAGAATTATACAAGTGCAGCAGCTTGTGTTTCCTTCATAGAAACTGGGCCTGCTTTGTCATCTCAGTTGACTACCCTTGGCCAGTTGATTGCCTCTTAGGGCCCCCTTCTCCACCCTTTCCAGTCAGATCCCAGCTCCTATTTGTGAGGCTGTTTTAGTGACAAGTGTTTCCCTGGGAACTTTAGACCTTCTGCTCACCCCTTCTATACCCTTGAGCTTATTTTCATTTTTTAGTGTTGCACCAACATGACTAGACTCAGTGTGTTCAGCTTTGACCCTGTCCTGTTCCTATAGAACCTTCTAAAATGGAGTTCACCTTTCCTTAGAAAAATATGCCACATTTCACCAGGTATGGTGATGCATGCCTTCAATCCCAGCGCTCAGGAGGCAGAGGCAGGTAGACCTCTGTAAATTTGAGGCCAGTCTGGTCTAGGTAATGAGTTCCATGCCAGCTGGGGCTATAGGGAGACCCTGTCTCAAAAAGACTGAAAAAAAGCAGCCACATTCCATCTTGCCTCAAATCAACATGTTTATTCTCTGTTCTAGTAGCTGGGACAGGGCCTGATGTTTCAGAAGATCTGAGCAAAAATTGTTGAGTGAGTGAACTATTTCCCCAGTCACGTTACCACTTTGCCTTTATTACATTTTATAAGCATCCAAGCTGCTGCACTGTTGCAGTGCTTACAGTTCTCCTAGCCAGACCCTGGTGCAGGCCTTTACCACCCGCGCTGTTTCAGTGTCCTCCTCCTCACCAGCGCCCTCCCACCTTTCCTATGTCAGGGGCTGCATTAAAATATGTTCTTCCCTGTTTGCTGTCGTTTAGTTTCCCCATTCACCCTTTTCTCCTGTTACTCAAATACTCTAATCCTCATAAACAAAACCTGTTTACAACTCCCTCCCCCAGTACTCCACACCCCCATCTCAATACCCCCCTCCAGCTCTCCACTCCACCTCTGAGCACCTTATTCTGGTTCTTCTCCCTGAACTAACTTTTAGCCCCTCTCTCTGCTTGTGATAAAGGCCCAGCTCCCTAATCCCAAATACTCAAAGGCTGTCAGTTTTTTTTAACTCCAGTAGTGCTGTGCCTCTGAGCAAAACAGGGGCATCCTACCCTATTCCAATTTATGTAACACAGTTTTCCAGACAGGCAAACTATTCACTCCTCATCTAATACTTAACCGCTTATAATAGCCAGGCCCTGAGTCAGAGGCTAGAATACAAAGATATTTTCAAAATTAAAGTCATGAGTCCTCCTAATGTCCCTTTAAAGGAGGTGCATCAATTTTCCTAATTTTGTATGCAGATAGAATTTTAACATCCTTAAATAAGTCTTCCAGGCAACTGTAATTCTTTCTGAGAGAGGACTCTAAAAGAACTAAACCAAGCAAGTTAGAGATATAGATCAGTAGAAGCATACCTGGCTGGTACATTCAAGACCCTGGGTTCAATCCCTAGCACTGCCATAAAAATTTTTTTTAATTTAAATTAAAATTATTTTAAACCTCTGGTTATGGTGGCAAACACCTTTAATCCCAGCACTCAGGAGGCAGAGGCAGGCAATGTCTGTGAGATCAAGGTCAGCCTGGTCTACATTTTGAGTTCCAGGTTAGCTGGGGCTACAGGGAAACCCCATCTCAAAAATATTTTTTTTTCATTAAAATAAAACAAGGACTTGAACAAATATTCAAAGGTATGTTTTATTCAGGAAGTCTAAAGCTTGACTCTCTGACACTTAGCATCTTTTTATGCATCCCTAGCAGGTCCACATATCCCTCCTGCTGTGTATTCAGTCAATGTAATCCTTTTAGATTTTGGTGACCAACTTGGATTTCCATGATGAGCAGAAGCGCCGGAATCTCAATGGCACCCTTCATGAGCTGCTGCGGATGAACATCGTTCCCATCGTCAACACGAATGATGCCGTTGTCCCCCCAGCTGAGCCCAACAGTGATCTCCAGGGGGTAAATGTGGGTAAAGTATTGCTAAGAGTTGAGCATGCTGGAGAAACTAACACGCTCTGCTGCTTGTACTAATGCTGGACATTTGGCATGAGCAAGACAAGAAATTAGGAGAACTGGCATCCCGGAGCTGTGGCTGCAGAAGCACCTCTGAAATCAGGGCATTTTGTTTAAGGGTAAGGCGCTGCCATGGCTTAGTGGTGGTGTGAGCATGGCTTGCAGATTTCAGCAGTAGAAGGCTGTGTTTGGAAGAAGTATCCAGTACCCATCCTGTTCTGCAGCTGGACCTGAAAGAGCTCTCATTTGCGTATCACTGGTTTTGCCTGCCAGAGCCTAGCTGGGTATTTCTGGGAACCTTTTTGGACTGCAGCGCTAACGCCCTACTTTTTTCTACATTGTAGGTTATTAGTGTTAAAGATAACGATAGCCTGGCTGCCCGTCTGGCTGTGGAAATGAAAACTGACCTGTTGATTGTTCTCTCAGATGTAGAAGGTACACTGCAACGCCGTTTTCCTTTGTCTGCGTTTGTGAGCACATGGTTTTACTTCTGATCACATTTTATTATGAACAGTTATTTCCTGAGCCGTATGGTCTGAACAGAGTTTCTGACTTTAAGAGGGTGATGTGTCTGGAAAACGAAGTTTGAAATGCTGAAATGTTCCTTTCAGGTGCTTTCTCTTTTTCTTCCTTCCTTCCTTTTTTTTTTTTTTTTTAACACAGTCCCACTTTGTAGCCTGAGAGCTCTTTGTGATCCTTTGTTGTGGAGGTGCTGCATTAATGAGGAACTTCAGTGGGCCTGATTGTCTTCTGATTTTCCTCAGCATTTTGTCTGTTCTGTTCTCTCCTGTCCTCTCCTGTCCTATCCTACTCTATTTTTATTCTACTGTCCAAACTTATTAAACAGCATATCAAGCCTGGAATGATAAAGGCTTGAACAGTCTTTGAAAGCAGTTTTACAAAGGAAGTTGTTTTTCTGAACAGCACACAAAGCCACAGACAGATGTCTGTCATTAACCTATCCCACCATGTTTCTTGCAGTGATTATGGAAAGACATTTTTAATGTCGTCACTGTCGTAACTCATGCACACATATATTGTTCTGAGTCAGGGGCTTACCTGAGTCACAAATAAGGAACGTGGTATAAGATTAAAACTATGGAGGCTAGAGAGATGGTCTGCGGTTAAGAGCATCAGCTGCTGTTGCAGAGGAGCCAGGTTTGATTCCCAGCACCCACATGGTGGCTAACAAGTCTTGTAACTCCAGTTCCAGGGGATCTAATGCTCTCTTCTGACTTCCGTGGCATTGCATGACACAGGTGCACCTATCTGTATGGAGGCAATATACTCATACACATAAAATAAAAATAATAATAAATATTAAAAAACAAAACAAAACAAAAAGTCTTTTGAGGCTGGATGTGGTGGCGCACACTTTTAGTCCCAGCACTTGGGAGGCAGAGGCAGGTAGATCTCCATGAGTTCAAGGTCAGCCTGGTCTACATAGTGAGTTCAAGGCCAGCTAGTGCTGCAGAGAGACCCTGTCTCAAAAAGACCAAAAAAAAACCAAACAAAAAACTAGTCTTTTGAGGAACCACCATACTGTTTTCCCTGGACCTGTACCATTTGATGTTCCCACCTGCAGAGTATGAGTTCTAATTTTTCTAATCCTTGCCAACACTTGTTATATGTTTTTTTGTATTATAACTATCTTAATAAGAAGCAATATCTTACTGGTTTTTTTGTTTTTTATTCCTTCCTTTTTTTTTTTTGGTCTTTTTGAGACAGGGTCTCCTTGTAGCCCCAGATGTCCTGGAACTCACTATGTAGACCAGGCTGGCCTTGAACTCGCAGAGATCTGTCTGCCTCTGCCTCCCAAGTGCTGGGATTAAAGGTGTGCGCCACCATGCACTTTATTTGTATGTATATGTGTATAAGCCATGGGGGGGGGAGCACATGCTGAGGTCAGAGGAGCTCATGGGAGTTGGTTTATTCTTCTACCATATGGATCCCAGGGACCGAACTCAGGTCATCAGGCTTGGTGACAAGTGCTTCTATTCATCTTGCCAGCTGGACCATTCCATTTTTTAATGTAAACAATGGGACAATTTACTTTAAATTAGAGCTGCTATAGAAAAATCTATGCTATTGGGCCACCTTTTCCATATGTATTAGTCTGTCGTTTGCTCCCCCTTCCTCACAGAAGGGCTCTGCTCAGCTTTGATTAGACTCCCCATTCACTCTTCTCATGTTCTCCAACTTATGGTCCCATTTTATAGTTTGACCCACAAGAAATAAATCATATGGGGCCTAGGGATGCAGCTCTGTTGATGAGTATTTGCCTTGCACACACATAGCTGTGGGGTCAGTCCCTACACCACATAAAGGCATTGTTATCCCAGCACTTGGAAAGTGGAGGTAGGAGAATCAGAAACTGAGTGTCATCCTTGGCTACATAGTGGATTGGAGGCCAATCTGGGACACATGAGACCTGGTCTCAAAAACAAACAAACAAAAAAAGAAAGTGGGGCTGGAGAGATGGCTCTGTGGTTAAGAGCAGTGACTGCTCTTGCAGATAACCCAGGTTCAATTCCCAGTACCCACATGGTGGCTATCAGCCATCTGTGACTCCAGTTCCAGGAGATCCGACACCCTCTTCTGGCCTCCGCGGGCATTGTGTGACACAGGTGCACTTACATATTTGTAAGCAGTACACATACACATAAAATAAAAATAACAAATAAAAAACAATGTATTTTTTAAAAAAAGAAAGAAAAGGAAGGAGGGAGAGAGCAATTTCATCCAAAATAGATCAAAACTCTAGGATTTCTCAGTCCCCAGTTATAATCCCAGGAAATCAGAAAATCTTTGCTGAATTCTCAGTCTATTCCCCAGGCAGGTTACCATGGTAGGACTCATTGTTAGTTCTAAATTCCAGCAAAGACTGCCTAGCAGAGGCATGAGCAGATATAAATGAATTAATCTGTCACCTGTTCACGTAGAAGATCAGAGCAAGGCTACCTACATTCAATATCTTTTCCCGTGAGAAACCTTGGTGCTAGGTTTACCCACAAAATTTGAAGCCCCAGGATAGGAGCAGCTAGGCTGGAGGAGGAATTAACCACCTCAGGGAAGAAGGCATGTTGGTATCAGCAGGGTTTTATTGAATTTTTACTTTGGGTAAATAACTGTGCTATGTGCTCTATAAATGTCAATGTATCCAATCTCGATAAGCCCAGTTATACACATGAAGAAATTAAAAATTAGGCTCAGGTCTTTTAAATATTATAGTATACCCAAAGTCATAGAGCAAATACTTGTTTCCTATTGTCTGTTCAATTGAAAGCTTGCTTTTCCCTCATTACTAGTATTCAGCCTGGCAAGGTAAAGGAATGGGCATCTGCAAGATCAGCATACAAAACCCAATTTGAACTAGACTCTAGTATACAGGTTTGTTCCACCTTCACACACCAAAATTGCTCAGCAGTGGGCTAGTACTCTTAGTATTAATTAGATTAATCATTCACCAAGTGTTCTTTTTTTTTTTTTTTTTTTTTTTTTTAATGTTCTCGAGACAGGGTCTCCCTAACCTGGAACTCACTATGTAGACCTGGTGGCCTTGAACTCACAGAGATCCGCCTGTCTCTGCCTCTGCCTCTGCCTCTGCCTCCCAGTGCTGGGATTAAAGGCTTGTGTCACCACCGCACTCTGGCTAAGTGTTGATTCTTAGAACAGTATTAGAATGTTAAAATGTTAAAGATCCTGTTGGTGGGGTTGAAAGACTCCTGCAAGGGAAGGAGGAGTAGCAGAATCCCAGCATGCTGGGAGGGCCTCTGTGTCTCTGGAAAGAGTCCCACACTCTTAACCAAAACTGAAGAGCTCCTCAGTCCATGCTTGTCACCTTCCGAGAAGAACCAGCCTGGAATCTCAGAGACTTTGGGGTGCTAGCTGAGCCAGACATCGTCTGGGCTGTTCTTTGTTTTCCTGCATTTGCCACTCAGGTTTTGCCTTGCTTCGGCTCAGCTTACACACTGATTTCCTCACTCCCCAGAGAGGTTCCACGTAGAGCAGAATTGTAAAGATCTGGAGTGATGTGGGGGAGGGTATATTATAGCCCAGGGAAAGCAGTGATTTAAAACTAAAACTGGGTTGGAGAGGTGATTCTGGGTAATGTGCTTGCCTTGTGAGCGAGAGGACCTAGTTTGATCCATAGAGCCCACGTTTAAAACAGACAAACAAAAAAACAGGTGTAGTGGTGCAAGCTTGTAATCCCAGTGCTGAGGAGGTGGAAGCAGGTGGATCCCTGTTGCTCGCTTGCCAGCCAGCCTAGCCTACTTGGCAAGTTCTAGGCAAGCGAAATTGTCTAAAAATAAAAGTGACTAGTACCTGAGAAACAACACTTGAGGTTGTCCTTCACACTCATATGTGCATATGTACATACACTTCCATGGCCATGTGTAGCAATACACATGAGTACACACATGCACACATACACACAAAGCCAAAAAAAGTCACCATCCAAAATACCCTTCAGTCAATTCCCAGCCACAGCCTGTGCCTCCCAGTATGTCTCCCTTAGGTCTTGATTTGACTCCATTTTTTCATACTGCTCTTACCTTCTCTTTTTCCCCTTCCAAGGCCATTGCTCTTTCAAAGTGAAACTGTGAGGATTTTTTTTAAACTTTGCATGTATGTGTAACATCTCACTTAACTATTTTGTGTTACCCTGCTCAGTTATGGAGCTGCATAAATCCAGCTCGAATGCTGAAAGTCGTGAGCTCTCCTACTGACTCAATCCAACCTCCAAGGCAACTCATAAAGTGGGGGGTATAAATCAAAGGGTACGGTGAGAGCTAATGAATACCCGCTTCACATTTCATCCTACTTAAATGGTTTAGGTAAGTAAAATCTAAGGGATGGAGAGCTAGCTCAGTAAAGAGCTTACCATACAAGCATAAGGACCTGAGTTCAATCTCCAGTGATAATAGACACTTATAATCCCAGTGATGAAGAGGCAGGGACAGTCAGATCGCTGGAGCTCGCTTGCCAGCGAGCCTAGCCTACTTGGCAAGTTCTAGGCAAGCGAAATTGTCTAAAAATAAAAGTGACTAGTACCTGAGAAACAACACTTGAGGTTGTCCTCCACCCTCATATGTGCATATGTACATACACTTCCATGGCCATGTGTAGCAATACACATGAGTACACACATGCACACATACACACAAAGCCAAAAAAAGTCACCATCCAAAATACCCTTCAGTCAATTCCCAGCCACAGCCTGTGCCTCCCAGTATGTCTCCCTTAGGTCTTGATTTGACTCCATTTTTTCATACTGCTCTTACCTTCTCTTTTTCCCCTTCCAAGGCCATTGCTCTTTCAAAGTGAAACTGTGAGGATTTTTTTTAAACTTTGCATGTATGTGTAACATCTCACTTAACTATTTTGTGTTACCCTGCTCAGTTATGGAGCTGCATAAATCCAGCTCGAATGCTGAAAGTCGTGAGCTCTCCTACTGACTCAATCCAACCTCCAAGGCAACTCATAAGTGCTATTTCTGCACTTGTCTTTTTTTTTTTTTTCGGTTACATCCTTGAGGCACAGTATGATAAGCCGTAATGGCAGGCAGGAGGATGTGTGCCAGTGGACTTTGAGAAGGGCTAATAAATTCTGTACTAAGGATGTGTATGACCTTGCTTGAGGTCAGGAAACATTGGTTTCAGCCAGGTTGTAAGAGCATGAAAGGTGCTTGAGCTTTCTTAGTGAGGTCAGTTCCGCCAAGCCCCGTTCCCCTTCCTGGTGAAGCAGTAGAATTCGTGGATTCTCTGTGTGGCAGCAAGTGCCTCAGGAGGCTTGTCTGCAGACACACACTTTGTCAGAGCACCTTTACTGACTCCTGTTCACTTTTCAGGCCTCTTTGACAGCCCCCCAGGCTCTGATGATGCAAAGCTCATTGATATATTTTATCCTGGAGATCAGCAGTCTGTGACATTTGGAACCAAGTCTCGAGTGGGATTGGGGGGCATGGAAGCCAAGGTAAGAACCTGACAGCTTAGCTGAATACTACAGGCAGGAGACCCAAACATTATCCTTGTTTACTATTAAAGTTATCTGTGCCTTGTGGTTCCGATACTGCACACATATGCACACATATCTAGATATAAGTGTCATGACTGTTGTGTACCTATGTTTTTCATCATTTTTTTATGTAGTTTTAGTAACATAAACAGTACTTTTTGTCTTTGTGTTACTTTTGTTACTATGATGAAATCCTTGACAAAAGCATGTTCAGAGAGGAAGGGTTTATTTCAGCTTACAGTTTGAGAGTGCAGTCCTTCATGGCACAGAAACATGAGGTACTTGGTCACGTTGCATTCACAGTCAGGAAATAAAGATGCATGCTGGTACTTGGCTCAGTTTCTCCTTTCTATTCAGTCCCCACTCCACTTAGGGTGGGCCTTGCTTCCTTCCTCAGTTAAACCTTTTTGCAAATGTTCTTGTAGACATTCAGAAGTGTTTCTATGGTGATTGCAAATCCAATCAAGTTGACCATTAAGGTTAGCCATCATGGTGTTGTAAGCTCCTAGAGGACAGGGATTGTGTGACTTTTACAGTTCATTAGTCTCTTATCAGCTCAAATATTTCTTGAAATTTTTCAAAATTTATTTCCCTCTCATTAATTGTTCTAAGAAGTTGTATCCAACCCTGAAAATGCCAGTAGTAGAAAGGAAGGCCAGAGCCCATTCGCAAAAGCTAAATCTTCTTAGGGTCAGATTCTGGTCAATCCTCTAGCTGTTTACAGTTATTACTAGGTTCAGGCATTAAAAAAAAAAAATCACAACACACAAGTTCTGAGTCCTGTGCCAGAGAGTTTCAAGAGAGAACACACTGGAAGCAGGACAGGTTGGTTCCCCTTCGGATAGTCCACACTGGGGCTGAACTGGGGAGTGTGGGATGCATGTGCTTTCTGAGCTGTTAAACACATTCCCTGTCTTTCCTTAACTTGCTCAGGATCAAATTGTATTTTGTATCATTTTTACAAGTTCAAAGTGTGGTACTAAGTCTGAGTCTCATCTTTGGATCTAATCTGTCTCATTAGGTAAAAGCAGCCCTCTGGGCTTTGCAAGGTGGCACATCTGTTGTCATTGCCAATGGAACCCACCCAAAGGTGTCTGGGCACGTCATCACAGACATTGTAGAGGGAAAGAAAGTTGGTACCTTCTTCTCAGAAGTAAAGCCTGCTGGTGAGTAGTTCTTCCTGAAGTCCCAGAGCCTGAGGCACCTGAGCCTAGATGGAACTGAAGACTGACCTCTTTCACTCTTGAGAATTCAGATTGTGAAATTCATGTGGTCTTGTTATAAAGCCTGGTATTTTAAACACTATTTATAAAATTGGATTTTGCTTTGCTTTTGTAAAATTCTCTTTCTCCTGCCTAACTAGTCATCCCATTCTCTCTAAACCAGGAGAACTTTGCTAGGTACTGATGTACTAAGCACTAGAGATGCAGAGGTGTGTAAGACATAGTGTATGCTCTCAAGCATTCACAAGTGGCATCTTATTATTTGCACTCACAAATGCAAGTACATTAGGAAACAGGAGCCAAAATGAAGTTGAACTCTAGAAGACACAAAGAATCTTGTCTTTGTCAGATACAGGCAAGTTTCTGTTTATGCCTGAGTTACTCTGGCATAGATTTTTGCCCATTCTATTGATTCTAGTGATCCCTGTATGTCAGCCAAGCATACCAAGACACCAGGCATTCCTTCCGCTTTAGGTAAAATCTGTTCACATGCTGGGGAAGTGAGAGTGGACGAAGCTGACAGTCTTATGCTCACACATGCTCTTACAGGCCCTACAGTGGAGCAGCAGGGAGAGATGGCCCGATCTGGAGGAAGGATGTTGGCCACATTGGAACCTGAACAGGTAAGACTGTTCACTGATGGCTCTGCAGTTTCAGAGCAAGCCATGCTATACATTTGGGTTCAACAGTCAAGTCTGCTGGCCCCTCTTATTCCCCCTCTTGTTGATAGAATTATCTGATTTACAAGCCTCTTTGTTTCATGCTCCCCTTTGTCTGAAGATAATCCTTTTTTCCCTGTGTTTTAAGCAAAGAGAAAATGAAAATGACAAAATGCGGAAGGCTGCCTGGCCTGGCATATGTGAATGTAGGAAAGGTACCTCTTCCAGCCCACTCGGAGTCACCCGCCATACCCATCAGAGGGATTGAGCGCTTACTCTAGTTCATGCTCTTCCTCGTACACAACAAATTAATAAGTAGGAGATGTGATAAGGCTGGATGTGGTAAGGAGGTCAGGTGAAATCTGGGGGCTGACCCCTCTAGGGCATGTTGCTAAGGCTGGATTAGAGTGGTGTAATAGGTGTAGCATCACCCATGGAATTGGCCTGAGAAGGGAGAAGGAAAGGCAGAGCCTGGCCTCTCCAGTTTGCTCCTTTCTTGATGGCCACATTCCCAATCTCATGGGTAAGGATTAGAATCTCTTTAGGCATTGAGGGCTGAGATTTTCCCCTTTTAACTGACTTCATCAAATAATTGGTCAAAAAGAAAAGTTAGATTAAAAAAACTGTACCAGAAAATAAGCTATGTCATGATAGGAGCTACATAAAGATGTGTGGGCCATGCTAATTCCAAGTGCATGCCTCTGTCAGGCAAATTATACTCTTCATCATGTTGTCTCCCCACTACTGAGATGTGGATTGCTACTAACAATAATCAGAAATGGTAAAGGAGGAGGAAAAGCAAGAAGAAATGAGGGGAAGTTGGGAAGCATAAGGGGAGGTGGACAGCATCAGGAATATGTGATGGGAACAAGGAGACTTCAGTCTGTGGAGACTTTGGTTCTAGGAATGAGACCTGGCACTCTTGGAACAGGATAAAAAGCAATGTGAGTTCTCGGATCAGCATGGCCATTGGTGTTTTCATGATTTCATTTTATTGCAGAGAGCAGAAATTATCCATCATCTGGCCGATCTGCTGACGGACCAGCGGGAAGAGATCCTGTTAGCCAACAAAAAAGACTTGGAGGAGGCAGAGGGTAGAGTCATTCATTCATTTATCTCTGATGTCTTCCCCTACATCTTACTGGTGATTCTTCTGTCTTTCTAAGGGCAAGGCTGCCATAAGAAATTACACTTTACTCATTGTGCTTATTGAAGGTGGATGGCCAATGCTAGTTAGGCTTTTTCTCCAGATATGTAATTCAGCTCTCCAAGGGGCTTTTCCTCTTCCCAAAGGTCATATGAGCTTTCATTGCTGTGTCAGTTTCAGGACCAAAAGAGGAAACTGAGAACTTCACTGCTTTAGCCATTCAGCTGAGAACAGCTAACGATGGCTAAGCCCCTTCTGTATTAGCAGGCACTGAGCTAAGGACTTCCCAACAGCATCACCTTTAAATGCCACAGCATAGTGTGTCTGAGCTAAGGACTTCCCAACAGCATCACCTTTAAACGCCACAGCATAGTGTGTCTGAGGGGGAAACTACAGCTCAGAGAGGCTGTCACTCACCCAAAGCCATATGGCCAGTAATGGGCCCAGGATTTCAGCTCAGATAAGTGTTCATATAAAGGAGCCATAGAAATTGTTTGTGCAGCCTGTGGTGAAAGATGGGGCATCTCTTCTATTAACCAGTCTGCTGCCATTCCAGCTAGCACCAGGTGCTGTCCAGAAATGTCCATGTGGTGCTCGTGGTAAAGCAGGAGGGATGGCCGGGCTCACGGTGCAGTCAGCTAGGCCCTGGTGCCTGCTCTCCTTTCTCTTCACTCCCTGCTTTGCCTCTTTCAGACAATGGGGGCTGGTTTTGAGGGGTTTGAACTTCCTTTTTTTCTCTTGAATGTGTCTTAACTTAGACATCTGGGTTAATGGTGTTCCCTCCAAAGAAGCCTTGCAAGGCCCCTCAGCGCAGCTTCTGTTCCTGGAAGCACACCAGATGCATTGCTTCAGAGCCTCCTCTGGCTTTACTCCTAGTCTTTTGAATCTTGTGTCATTGGAAAATCACAATATAGATTTCAGAAATGGAAATCTATGCTAATATCTAGGTCTTTTCAGTTAAAGTAAACAAATTCAGAGTCACTGAGGTCAAAACTGATGCTCCAGGTCACATAGCTTGTTGTGGGCAGTGTCTGCCTGCCAATCCTCATAATGTTTCTATAAAAATACACAGGACTCACAGCGGGTTAATGAGTGAATGCTTATTGCTTTGATTGGATTATTTTCATTGTATCCTATATTGAATTACCATAATGTCACCCATAAAGCTGTTCGAATATTGTAATCCAATAAAAGGAAATGGGGAGATGCTCTCCTAGTGAAGCACTTACCTCGCAAGCATGAGGACCTGAATTCAGATCCTTAGCACTCGCAGAAAAAGATAGGTGTGGCCTGCAATTCCAGTGCAGGTGGATAGACCTTTGGGGATTCCTGCTCCCCCCACCCACTCACCCATGTCTAGCAACAATTGGTGAGCTCCCTGAGAGACACCATGTCTCAGAATTAAGGAGGAGAAGCAATTAAGGAAGACACCCAGCTTTGACCTCTGGTCCCCACATGCACATGTGGGTGTAGACATAAGCATTTATACATATGTGTGTCAAACCCCCTACGTGGACACACACACACACACACACACACACACATCCACAAATTAAGCCAGATATAGTGGCATGTGCCTGTAATCTATATGTAACTCAGTTCCAGGCCATTTTGGGTTACATAGGGAGACTCCATATCAAAGAATAAATAAGCCCTAGGCATGGTGACAGATGCCTTTAATCCCAGCACTCAGGAGGCAGAGGCAGGCAGATCTCCGTGAGACCGAGGCCAGCATGGTCTACATAGCGAATTCCAGGTCAGTGGGGCTACACAGAAACCCTGTATCAATCAATCAGTCAATCAGTAACAAAAAGTCCTGGGTGTGCATGGGCATGGTAAACGCTATTGAGTCAGCATTCCCAGTTCACAGAGTTGAGCCTAAGAAAACACTTCAAGAAGAAAAAGTAGAGGCCTGGAGAGATGGCTCAGCGGTTAAGAGCAATGACTGCTCTTGCAGAGGACTCGGGGTCGATTCCCAGCACCCACATGGTGGCTAACAACCATCTGTAACTCCAGTTCTGGGGAATCCGATGCCTTCTCACCTTCGTGGGCATTGCATGATATGGGTGCACTTACATGCAGGCAATACACTCATACACATAAAATAAAAATAATAAAATATTTTTAAAAAGAAAAAACAGGTTGTAGATGCTTAGGAAGAGGTCATTTATCATATTGAAAATCTATAAACTGTTAAGGTCTAATACTATAGACTTGGTTAAGAACATTTTACAACATGAGAGATGTGCTTGTATTGTAACACAGAAAACTAAAATGTAACATAAAATGTACCGTATAAATAAAAGCTTATTTATTAGCTCATGAGTAAAAACAAAGAAAATTAATTAATATATGTAATTGGTTGATAGAATCAGTTTGTTTTTCTCCTTAAATTAACTTTACTCCCTCCCTTCCAAAACTCAGCATTAATCACAGTAATAATTTGGGGCATTTGATCTCACGTTTTCCTGAGTGTGTGTGTGTGTGTGTGTGTGTGTGTGTGCATAATTTTGTATCTGTATTGAGACAATATTATGCATATTTAAAGTTAAAAACAATTCTATATACAAACACTATAATTCTATTTAGCTTTTTTCCAAAAGAAGATATATTGCTACCTATTATGAAATAATTTGCTCATTTAAAAAAATATAATAATATAGGAAGATAATAAAGTAGAGAGATCATCGCTGTTCTGGACTCCATGGAGACATGAATCAGTTGCACATTGCATCCTCAGTGTTTGATAAATAGCATCAAGCCATGCTGTTTCATAATTGGCCTTTTTCAAAAGCCATATCCCATATAGCCTTGCTTGTCAGTACATGAGTAGTTCTACATGAGTAGATAATGTATAATAACTGCATCATAGCATCTGAATTGTTAGATAGAATCCAGGCCTTCCAGTTATGAAATCTGTCCCCTTATTACATGCTAACTTGCTCCTGCAAGTGATAAATTTCTGGATATGAGACACAACATTGCCAGACCTGCTTCCCAGACCCCAGGAAAAGCTGTGTAAGCAGTGTGTAATTGTATCACTGAGTCCTAGAAGTTCCATGTCTAGCCCTGCTGTAGTAAAGTTGGTGACCAGAGCCTGCCCACATCTGCCTCTTTATCATGGAGTTCCAACACCTTTCCAGGGAGACTTGCAGCCCCTCTGCTGAAGCGCTTGAACCTCTCCACATCTAAACTGAACAGCCTGGCTATCGGGCTGCGGCAGATCGCAGCCTCCTCGCAGGACAGTGTGGGCCGTGTTCTGCGCCGGACTCGGATTGCCAAAAACCTGGAGCTGGAGCAAGTGACTGTCCCAATTGGAGTTCTACTGGTGATCTTTGAATCTCGCCCTGACTGTCTACCCCAGGTATGTGTGACCATGGCCCAGTCACTGGGGATGGGTTGTACAAAGCATAGATCTTCAAGACTAGAGATAAAGTCTCCCAAATATATTTATGTGTGCTTATGTATGTATATTCATATATGTGTAAGGAAGAAAAGGATCTTCCATTTTCTTCAATAATTTTGTAGATGTCATTGTCTGTCTGTTATTAAGGTAATGTATAACTGGATCCTTCCAGTCATCTCCAAGTTGGGATGCAGCTGAGCATTATAAAAGTTGGTAGTCTGTGCCAGGCGTGGTGGCACACACCTTTAATCCCAGCACTGGAGAGGCAGAGGCAGGCGGATCTCTATGAGTTCAAGGCCAGCCTGGTCTCCATGGTGAATCCAGGCCAGCTAAGGCTACAGGGAGACCCTGTCTCAAAAAAGACCAAAAAAAAAAAAAACAAAAAAAAAGTTAGTAGTCCTGTCACTCTTGTAAATATAGAGCTGTTATTACTGGATCCCAGACCAATCCCACTGCAAGAGTAGGAAAGGAAATCCCCAGCTCTTCTAATTCACATACACTTTATGCTCAGACCACAGGTCCCTTTCAAGCTAGCTGCAGTTACTTGACTGACAGGTGTCTGTCCATGCAAAAAAGACCCTCAGTCATCAGTGTCACAGATGACTTCCTGTAAGCATGTTTCTTAGAAGCACTTCAGTAGTTAGTGGAATCTAGAATGCAGCCCTCTCTAAGGATGTGGAGAAAGCACAACAAGCTGAAACACAAGGTGGCCCTAGAGACTAGCCTCACTTTGCTGCCCCAAACTCTCCTAGAAATCCATACTGAACTCTTAGTAGAATAATACCAACATTTTCTTTGTACTGGTCCCAACATCTCAAAGGGAAATTCTGTTTTAAAATAAAATGCTAGGGCTAGAGAGATGGCTCAGTGGTTAAGAGCACTGGCTGCTCTTGCAGAGGACCCAGGTTTGAATCCCAACACCCACATGGCAGCTAACAACTATCTGTAACTCCAGTTCCAGAGGAATCCTACGCCCTCTTCTGATCTCCGCAAGCATTACATGACACAAGTACACTTACACACATGCAGGCAATACACTCATACACATAAAAAATAAAATAAAAGAAATGCTGATTCTTCTGTGTATAAGGTCTAGGGGACTATGGAGTCTGGGATGCTCTGTAAAGGGTACTCTCTAATGTGCCCTCACACCAGTTTTTCATCATGGGATCCCCTTCCTACTGTCTGTCCTCAGCCCTTGTCAGACACTGGCTTATTTTCCCTCTGGCCATATGCCTGTTATGCAGAAGAGCCCAGTGATGGCTGCAAAACTTCACCTATGCTAGCAGAAATGGGCCCAAGTCTGTGTGGGCTCTCTCCTACCTGCTGCTTTCAGCTACCTAATTCCTCACAAAGAATAGGCTTTCTTCTGTGGCTAGAGCAACATGCAAGTCTAAATAGGAATCTAAATCTAATAGGAGTGTGGCATCTCTGCATTTATCTAAACAAAGTTTGCATAATCTGGAGAAAGGAGCAAATGAAAAAGGATAAACCCCTAATGTGGAAATTAAAATGGTCAGCAAGGGGTTTTAGTAGCCATTTCCCTACCTTGCCAAACCAGAGAGGTTTTCATTTATCTGAAAAGCAGTCAGAAAATGAGGCTTCAGGCTTAGGATGCCTGGGTTGGTGTCTTTGACTGCATTAACCTGCCCCCAACAGCGTGGGCTCTCTCTCCCATGGGCTGCTGTTGCCACCCAGGCTTGCAGGAGCTCGTGTCCTCTAGTTCTTAGCACCAGGCCTATAGATCCTATGGAACAATTCTAGAACCTCAGCAGGGTTGTGGCCAGAGGTACACCCAACTCCTCTGAGTCAATAGAGCAAGTATTTTTCTATGGAGGCAGCTAAACCTGCTCTGCACTGTGGCCAGAGCGGGGTGGGCTGTGTGACCCTGAGCTCAGGTTGTGTTGATGCTGGTTCTAAGGAAGCAATATAGTTTAGTTCCTAAGAGTCAGACACCTCAGTGTGACTCCTGACTCTGCATTTATAGGCTATGTGACCTTGGGAAGTCACCACCCTCTCTGGGCTTCAGTGTAAAGTGGGATAAAACAGATTCTTTATTTACTCAGACACTGGTGAAGGTGAGACAGTATAATAGTAAAGTACCCAGCAATGTGAATGTCACTGTCACTCTTAACTGTCTTTTCCCTTGATCCATTGCTCTACCCTTTGATCTGCAGGTGGCAGCCTTGGCTATTGCAAGTGGTAATGGTTTGTTGCTCAAAGGAGGGAAGGAGGCTGCACACAGCAACCGCATTCTTCATCTGCTAACCCAGGAGGCCCTGTCCATCCATGGAGTCAAGGATGCCATCCAGCTGGTAGGTCCCAGGAATGAGCCAGGTCCAGCCCAGGTGGGGCCAGTTGAGGTCTGTGGGAGTTTGAAGCCCAGACACGTCTACAGGCAGGCTTGACTGGAGTGGCAGCAGGGTCTGTGCACCTGCCAACATTGGGCTATTCAGAGTCAGGTGGCTTCCATTGACTTGGGAGGGCCACCACCGTACATAGGTAGGTGCCCAGGCACTGCTGAGTCACACAAATGTCAACTAAACCTTATTCTTTTTTAAAAATTTTATTATTATAGTATGTATATGATATGACTGTGTGTGTAGGTGTGTGCGTGGAGGTCTGAGGTCTGAGGACAACTCTGTGTAGTCGGTTCTTTCCTTCTGTCTTTATCTGAGCTCAGGGATCATGAGCCCCAGGCCTGACCACCAGCTGCCTTACCCACTGAGCCATCTCAGACCTTCATTCTGTATGTCATTGGGAGTGACAGACTCATTATGAGGCCTGGGCTCTTACCATTGGTGGAGTGATTTAGGATAATTCGATGAGATACACTTTAAGGTTTGTCATAAACCATCACGTGGCATGGAAGAATGAGACCATGCTGCTGTCACTGTTACTATGCTCACTAACCTGTCTGGGGCTGTCAGATGCTTGATGGGAGCCAGGGCAAGTCATTGAGATGCTTTCATCCATCACTTCACTAATGAAGAGGGAATGTCATGCATTATTAGGCCTTTTTTCTAGATGGGGAAAAAGTAAGCTTGGAGGTATAAGAATTCACCAGTATGTAATAGAGTTTAGATCTGACTTAAGCCACTTCTGGATCCTTCTTTTTCTAGGGAAGCCCCTCCCTCCAACATTTCAGCATTGTCTTGGCTGCTGGGAGATGCTGCCTCATTGCTTGCTCAGTGAGAATCCAAGTCTCATATGCAGGATACTGGATGGGAGAGCACGGGTTAGGGGCTCAGGTCCTGGCTCTAGCACATCCTTGCTGGATGGGTTCTTTCGCTCCCTTCCTTCCTGCCAGCATAGTTGGCATATGCAGGTCCCCTGAGAACAGCACTGTGCTATTGTCCACATGGACACATGTGACTACCGGCCATGTGGAGCTGTAACACATTCCTAGCACCCCACAAGACTCCTGCCCTGCCTAGTTACTGGATCCCAGCCTGTCAGATAACTGCTCTTTTGATTCTTGTCACATTCAGTTACTTTTGCCTGTACTTGAACTTCAGTGGCACTTTCCAAAATAGACTTTCCTGCCGGGCATGGTGACTCATGCCTTTAGTCCTAGTACTCTGGAGGCAGAGGCAAAAGGACTTCTGTGAGTTCAAGGCCGGCCTGATTTACATAGCAAGTTTTAGGCCAGCCAGGGCTACATATTAAGACCCTGTTTCAAAAAAACAAAACAAAACAAAAACAAAGGACTTCTGTTATACATCTTTTGTTTATTGTTATCTGGGTGACCTTCATTCACATGTGGTTTCCCCTTTTTCATCACCATGTAGTAGTCCATTTATAGCCACATAGCTATAGTTAATCCCTTCTTTGTTGACAAATATTTGAATTATTCCAGAGTTTGGGTTCTGTGGAATAAAGTAGCTATGAACACTCTGGTACACATACATTTATATCTCTGTTGCAAAAGTAACCTGACCAGAAGGGAGAAAGACAATTACAAATCCAGAAAAGAAAAGAAAAGAAAAGAAAAGAAAAGAAAAGAAAAGAAAAGAAAAGAAAAAAAAAAATGCCTGGAATCTCTGTATCCAAATACAAGCACTTTATAGTCCGTCTAGTGTGCAACCCAGGGTAAAGGCTATCAGCAAAAGTCCTGGGGACAAGGGACTCCCTAGCAGCACCCCAGCATTTCCTCAAGGCTGTGATTAGAGAACTGACAGAGTGGCTGCTTCTTTCAGTGACCCTGTGGCCTGGCGTCATTTTTACCTTTTTTTTTTTTTTTTTTTTTTTTTTTTTTTTTTTTTTTTTTTTTTTGTCTTTTTGTTGATTGTTTTTTGACAGGGTCTCCGTGGTCACAGCCTACCTGTGAACCAGGGTGGCCTCAATCTCTTGGAGATCCATCTGCTTCTGCTTCCCAAGGGCTGGGATTAAGGGTGCATGCCACCACACCTGATGTCATCTTTACCTTTTTATCTTCTACCCACAACACTTGGTGCTGCCTGTGGCATTTACAAGCTCATCCTGTTTGGGCTAGCAGTACCATCATCCTGCCTTCCCTGACTGAGCTCTGTCCAGGCAGAATCTGTGTCTGTAATGTGGACGTGAGATGTGGCTTCTTCTCTCTAAATAGTTTTATGAGTGTTTGCCCCATGGCATTCCATTTTCCACAGTCAGGAATTTAGTCTTGTTGCTTACATTAGGCCTCAGGGTGTGCAGACATTGGTCTCTAAAGGAGAGGCTGCTGTTTCTGTCTTTTGTGTGGCCAGAAGATGCATTTTTGTCTTCTATTCTCTCCCTCTTCAGGTCAATACAAGAGAAGAAGTTGAAGATCTCTGCCGCCTTGACAAAATAATAGATCTAATCATTCCTCGAGGCTCTTCCCAGCTGGTCAGAGACATCCAGAAAGCTGCCAAGGGGATCCCAGTGATGGGACATAGCGAAGGGATCTGCCACATGTATGTGGATTCAGAGGCCAGTGTGGACAAGGTCACCAGACTCGGTGAGCTGCCCAGGATCTCTTGGGTAGCGGGGGTGAGGTGAATCATGTGCATAGGAAGTCATTCTTTGCTCTTGTTCAGTCAGAGACTCTAAGTGTGAATATCCAGCTGCCTGTAATGCATTGGAGACTTTGCTAATCCACCGGGATCTGCTGAGAACACCATTGTTTGACCAGATCATTGATATGCTGAGAGTGGAACAGGTAAGACCAACCCACAGGCAGGATACATCCTTCTGTCTGCACGGTTAGGCAGGGGCAGCTTCCAGGAAACTTTGGAAAATATTTTTACATCTGCTCTGTGTATGAAGTGCTATGCTAAGTACAGAGGTGAGCTGTGACCCCTGTCCTCTGGCAGTCTAGTGGGGATGTTGTGATGCACAGACAGATGCATATGTTGCAGAGTGCAGCATATTCCCTGCTGCACTGGTTCAAAGGTAACACAGACTACTTGGCACATGCTGAATCTTTATGGCAATGTTTTATTTGGGTGGCCAAGTTTCTGTTGCAGTGATATTAAAGGTGTGCAATCTGCATAGTGTTTCCTTTGGATTATGTTTATAATATGTTATTAAGGTTTAAATAAACCAAAACGTTTCAAATACAAATTTATACTCTGTCGTAAATTCATAGGTAGTACCAGCTCACCCTCCAGGCCCATGAGCAGCCTGGCTCAGCTTTCCAGGCCCTTGCTGTGTCACACAGGCCTAATACCATGCAGGCTCCTCATATAGTCCCCACTGTTGGTTGCTATTGCTGACTTACTCCTCTTGGTTTTATGTTGGATTTCCTCTATGCCAGGTAAAAATTCACGCAGGTCCCAAGTTTGCCTCCTATCTGACCTTCAGCCCCTCAGAAGTGAAGTCACTCCGAACAGAGTATGGAGACCTGGAAGTATGCATTGAAGTGGTGGACAGTGTCCAGGAAGCCATTGAGCACATCCATAAGTACGGCAGCTCCCACACAGACGTCATTGTCACAGAGAATGGTCAGTTTGCGGTGCTTCAGGGGAGCAATGCCAGCTTTGTTTGCTCAGATCTGCAGCTGCACCTGCATGAAAGCACACTCCAGACAGACCAGTGACAGGCCTAGCGTTGGTGGTGGCTGGTGACTTGCTGAGTCCTCTCCTATCTCCTACCTGTTGTCTGTCACAGTGGCCCCATCGGCAGGACAGAGATCTTTAAAACCACTTTAAAGGTAGCTTACCCTGCCTCATTCACAAAGCTACCCTATTAGGTAGCTCAAAGTCATCATGTTAGCCAGGTACTCAGGAGGCTAAGGCAAAAGGATTACCTTGGCTACATAAGTAGACCCTGTGTCAGAAAACAGAACAGCAAAGCCAGGTGCACACCTTTAAGCCTAGCACTCGGGAGGGAGGCAGGCAGGCAGGCAGATCTCTTGTGAGATCAAGGCCAACCTGGTCCACATAGTCACAGGGGAGACCCTGTCAAAAACAACAACAACAACAAAACAGAACATCGGGAGATGACTCAGTGGTTAAGAGCACTGGGTTTGATTCCTAGCATGGCGGCTATGAACCGTCCTTAACTCCAGTTCCAGGGGAATCCGATGCTCTCTTCTGACCTCCACAGCATTGCATGGCACAGTGTACTCACATACATGCAGGCAATACACATAAAATAAAAATAATATATAAAATATTTTTTAAAAAACAAAACAAAGACTGGAGAGATGGCTCAGTGGTTAAGAACAGCGGTTATTCTTGCAGAAGACCCGGATTCAAATCCTAGCACCCATATGGCAGCTAACAACTGTCTGTAACTCTAGTTCCAGGGGATCCGATGACCTCTTCTGTCTTCCTCAGGCATTGCACGACATGGGTGCACTTACCTACATGCAGGCAATACATGCATACACATAAAATAAAAATAATAAATATAAAAAACAAAAACTCCAGCAAACATTTTATAACTGAGGAAACCAAAGCTCTGAGGTTAAGGGCAGGACCAACTGCACATTCCTTCCTTTAAAACCTAAATAACATACCAAAGAACACTTAGAGATATCTGGCCCTAGGGCCTGAAGGTGAAGGAAGGGTGTGGTAGGGCCATATGACCCCAGTTTGCCAGAGCCACCAATGGTTGTCATTAACGTAGGACTTCCCATGAGGGACTGGGATGACAGCACCCACACCATAGTAACGTCCTTCCCTTCTCACCCAGGCACATCTGCCCAAGGCCACATAGCTAGTGGGTATGGATGTGAAGGTCAGACCTGGACGGGCCATGATGGCATGGAGACACTGCTGCCTGGAGATATGATTCCACCCTTGGTGTCTGCTCAGCACTGACTGTGGGTGATGGCTTGCTGTCTTCCTAAGCCTGCGTGTTTAACTTGCCAGGAGAACATGTAGGCAGGCTCCCTGGGGGCCTTGACCCTGCCCAGATCTGTCAACAGCGAGTGACCAGAAGCAGGAATGTTCTCTGTGGGTCACCCTAATTTGGCTTATCTCTCTTTGCCCTGCAGAGAGAACAGCAGAGTTCTTCCTCCAGCATGTAGACAGTGCCTGTGTGTTCTGGAATGCCAGCACTCGCTTCTCTGATGGCTACCGCTTTGGATTGGGTAAGAAAGACTGGCCAGGGGCAAAGGAGTCCCTTTGTGACTCTCTCATCCTGGGGTCCAAGGACTGAAATGAGGTGGAGACCTCTCCCCTCCACAGTTATATATGTGATCCAGATACAGAGCTGAGAAGTGGCAAGGTAGAGAGAAGTGAGAGGATACTACCAGTTGCCCTCCTGCATTGGTAGAAACTTCACCTGTGAAGAAGGTAGCTGCTCCTGTTCCTTTCCCACAGACCAAGAAAATGGGTCAAAGAAGTTAAGTAATTTGCCCAGTCACACAGCCAGTGTTGGGACCTAATGCTCTCAAGTTCAAAGCCTGGCTACCTCCACTGCAGCAGAGGAAAACACAGTTTATCTTGATTCACAGGTTTCATGGTCCCCATAGTGTATGCCACTGCAGACTTATTGCTTCAGATTGACACAGCTAGGTTGCCACAGAGAGAGGAGCCACAACATAGGACAGGAGAAGGTGCTGGTACCCACACTGAGCCTAGTTACTAGCATCAGGAGTCAGCAGGGCCTGGGGCTTGGTCTGGAGCATGCATAGCTCCTTGAGTTCACCCCTAGTACCAGCACAAACTAAAACATGTCATCTTTGGAAACAGACCCTTTTCTGGTCCTTCCACCTATAAAACCTCCAGCTATCTGTAGTATTGAGTTGTTTAAACAGTCTACTTTTCCAGGGGACCCTTACACAAGCATCTAGTGAGACAGTTGTGACACATTTTGAACATTTAGAATTTTAATCCCCTTGAATTTGGGGGTGGGGGGTGAGTGAGCTTTTTCTTTTTGGTCCTGTACCTTTGGCATGCTAGGCAAGCGCTCTACTACTAAGATACGTACTAGCCCCCTCTCCTCCAAACTTTTTGAATAGATGATCTGCCTGAAAAGATCATCCTCACTCATTATTAAAGGTCATAAGGGATTTTCCTCAGTTAATCTTAGTCAACAGACTACTTTAGTTCCTGTTTCTGTCATGGTGGGGATGTGAATTCCTCACATTGATCTTTGTACTCCATGTTCCTGAAAAAGAAATAGCTGAGCCAGTGTTGAGTGAAAATCAAGGATGGGAGAAAAGTACAAGAGCACTCTGCTATCCTTTTAGCACCTGATGGCTGAGTATAATCCCCATGAACCTCTTCATGACAGTGATAGTACTTGCTGAGTGTTTACCTTGTCTGGCACTGCCAGAAAAATCACTTGCATCAGCTTACTGAGTCCTGTAAGGGGGATCCATTCCTTTCCTCATTTTCCACATGGAAAGGCCATAGCATGAGGAATGATGACAGGTGACTGCCCAGAGTCTTGGGGTCTCTGTATCCTCAAGCCAGACTCAGTCCTGGTCATCCACTTTGTCAGCCACCACCCAGGCACATTCCTTGATCTCTCTCTTTGCCTGCCTGTCACCTCCACCTCACCAGCTCCTTCACAGGGTTTAGGCTTCAGCCAAAAGGTATCTTCTTGGGGAAGCTATTCACTCTGAAGTGAAGCTGTGCCCTCTATCTCTGTCATAGCATGCCATTAAACTCAAACATTGTAGGAGATTGTTAATTGGCCTGTCCTTTGGCTACCTTGCCCAGTGTTCAGCTCCAAGATACCAGGACCTCATTCCTCACCACCTCATCCCCAGACCTGGAGCACATAGTACATGCTCAGGGAAGTTGTGATGAATGAGGAAATTTGACCTCCCCTGAGTGCAATGGAAAACATTGGGCCAGACCCAGGAAAATCCCTGGCATCTGCTGAGTCTATGCGCCTGAGAGAAAAGAAATGAACAGTAACTTGTCATGTATTCTGTAACTCACAGATGCCTATGTGCATAACTTCTGGGGAAGTACTAAAAACTATGCTTTGTAGAATCTAAAAACTATTTTGGCATGGTGGCATCCACTTAGAGTGCTAGCGCTCAGGGGGCCAAGGCAGGAGGATCAAGAATTCAAGGCTAACCTGGCCTACATAGTGAGACCATGATCTGGAGTGACTAGGGAACTTATTCATGGGGACAAGGGACTCCTGCTGGCCTAGGGAGAATGGCTCAAAAGTTCGCAGGGAGAGAAGAGTACCATGTGTGGGCCTGGTGGATAGACAGGCAACAGAGCCTGGGAAGAGCCATACCCTCTCCGTGCTTTCTTTACAGGAGCTGAAGTAGGAATCAGTACATCACGAATCCACGCCCGGGGACCAGTAGGACTTGAGGGGCTGCTAACAACGAAGTGGCTACTTCGAGGACAAGACCACGTAGTCTCAGACTTCTCAGAGCATGGCAGTTTAAAATACCTTCATGAGAACCTCCCTGTCCCCCAGAGAAATTTCAGCTGAGAGCTCCCACAAGTCAGGACTGTTCCCACAATTAAGCTAGTCAGGGATCTCCAAGGAGAAACCTGAGCTGGTCCCCCACCTCTTGGAAGGGTCTGTGTTTTGGAAAGTGCACCTAGGTACTTCTGGCTTAATTCAGTAATTTCAGTCTTGCTAACGTTCATATTCCAATCCTGTGTGTCTGTCTGTGTCTGTCTGTCTGTCTGTCTATCTGTCTTGTCTGTCTGTTACTGGGGCCAAACCTAGACCTCATTCATGCGCGGCAAGGGCTCTACCATTTGGGCTGTCTCCCTAACCCTGCATTCCAATCTTAAAATAATTGCTGCAGGTGGAGGCTTTGCTTTACTTTGCCCAAGCCCAGTCTCACCAATGGTAGAAACTAAAGGACTGTTTCCCATATCGAGGCAGGGGAAATTCCTGACTGATCAGATGGGCTCAGTGAGGTAAGAGTCCCTTGGCATTGATTGGAACTCTCCTGCCTTACCTAGTGAGTCTCCACATTTATCTTATTTCTTCTACACATCTTCAAAGGGAGAGATTTGGGTTGGGGACAGCTCTTACTTAGCATTCTCTTCAGAAAAAGTGCCCAAAATGAATTTACCTATGTCCACTGGGATGATTGGCCTTTGTGAAATTATAGTGCCTCCCAGACAACCTGCAGCCTATCCCAGGTCAGGGGACACACAGTACCTTTGATGTAGTTGGAATCTGAGCCTCAGATAGGAGGTACAAGTTTGAGGGCATTCCAACTGAGGGGACTATCTACAATTATGCGTGAACTTTTTTTTTTTTTTTCTGTCTTTTTGAGACGGTCTCCCTGTAGCCCCAGCTGTCCGGGAACTCACTATGTAGACCAGGCTGGCCTTGAACTCGCAGAGATCCGCCTGCCTCCCAAGTGCTGGGATTAAAGGCGTGCGCCACCGTGCCCAGCTAATGCCTGAACTTTTTATATGAATCATTTGTCATCCTGTCCTTGACCTCCAGAACAAAGATTAGAGGATTATTTTAATACTTTGGATTCTTTCTCTCTTTTTTGAGAAATAAAGTTCTTATGAAAAGCCTGTGCACATGGTTACAATTTTCTCCCTTATTTGTCCTTACCCTCATCTTCCCTCTCCCTCCCTGGTGACCTTCCTGCCCTGCTCTTCAGCATGCTGTGTTCTCTGGAATTTGGCTGAGAAGACACTGTCAGTAGAAGCAGTGCATGAAAGTCTCCCCTGGAGGGACTCTGGCCTCAAGAGAGGAAAGGAAAACAGGACAGTGGGCATGAAGGAGGCCGACAGTGTGTTGGATGTGTGAGGCTGTGCTTGGCATGAGCATTTTGCCTGTCATGTCCCCACAGCAGCCACTCCACCACAGCCCCAGCCTTCATTCTTAATTCACTGTGGATACAACTGTGCTCACTCTCCTGACCTGTCCTATGCCACTAGTAGGCTCTAATCCCTCACTTCCTTCCCTTTAGTGCCTGTCCTTGTGGTTCCCTGCAGTCTATAGTTAAAAGACTTCTTATCTCTTGGGGACCTCCTAAAAACATAAGTGCTTGCTGGCATGATTTGAGGATGTTTTATGGGCATAAGAATTGCAGTGTCGTATGGAACATGTCCCAGGCTGGCTCCAGGCTCTGTCTCTCATCCAGACCCTTACAAGGTCTGGCAAGTCACCCAGCCTACCCTGCCCCATGAAGGGATAGTTCTGGCATAGCTTGCCTGAAAAGGCAATAAGCAAGGTCCAGTGGAAATGACAACACAAATACAACTAGCTCCCACCCAGACAACGGATGCCCCAGGAGTCTGAATAGCAACCCATGAGAGCTGAGCCCTGGAGGAGTCCACCGAGAAAGCACACCGGGGTGTGGGTTCTGAGGAAGAGTCCTGGGAGTAACCAGTGGGCGGGATATGTAGGTAGCCGGTTGGTGTAAGCAAGGTCCAGAGATAGGGATGAAACCAGCAAAACTGGAAAGCAGTAACTTCACATTTAAGGCAGAAGGTTGTGGGTTATAAGAAGGTACCATGTCCTAGACTGATGGTATCTTTCCTGGAGCCTCTGGTTTGGCTTAGTTTGGTTTGGGTTTTTTTTTTTTTTTAAAAAAAAAAAAAAAAAAAAAACAGGGTCTCCCTGTAGTCCTAGCTGGCTAGGAACTGACTATATAGAGATAGTTGTAGAGGCTAGCCTCTACCTGCCTAGTGCTGGGCATTAAAGGTATGTGCCACCACACCCAACTAGATTTATTTATTTTTATGTATGAGTGTTTTGCCCACATACATTTAAGTGTACCTCATGTAAGCAATGCCCACGAAGGACGGAAGAGGGCATCAGATTCCCTGAAACTGGGGTTACTGACAGTTGTTAGCCACCATGTGGGTACTGGGCACTTAACTTGGGTCCTCTGCAAGAGCAGCCAGTGCTCTTAATTGCTAAGTCATCTCTTCAGCCCGGTAGCCTCCATGTTTACAGCATGGAAAAGGCAGGTAAAGTTTAACCTACAAAGCCATTTCTTCTGTTCAGAAAGCTTATTAGCCCTGTCAATATCTACCAAGACTGAACCTCCAGCATCCTCCCCTTCTCAATCCAAAGTGAAGAAACACCTAAGAGGACCAGGAGGCAGCCATTGTCTTAAAAATGCCCCCTACCTGTGTAGCCCAGTGCTTACTGGTTTAATCATACAGGAAGGGGCCTCTTACTCTGAAATCACTCCTGTGTTCCTGCCCTACTACCAACTCCTGATGGCACATGCCACTGAACCAACCAGTCCTGAACCTTCAGTTCCCACTAAGGATAAAAAATTCCCTCTGGTGTGGGTAAGTTAAAGTTCCTACTCTAAAGGCAGTTTTACTCGATTGTAGATTTTCTGTTATTGCATCCAGAAACTATGTAGGACATAACATTAAGAAAGAGTTTATAAAATGGGCAGCAAGGATGAACTGGGACAGGGGTTATTGATCCTGCATCCCTTATTTTATGGACCCATCACTCCCTGGTCTTGCAACAAACCTGTTAGTATGATTCAAGATAGGATATTGTTTCCCCTAGTCGACAATTAGTGGTGCTCAGGGGACCCAGCCTAATTAATCAGAGTACTCATTTGGACATATGGTTTAAATTTGACCAAGTAGCATGTTGATGGAATTTTTATGCAGTTATTAGGAAAAGCAAGCTCTATCCTCCTGGGGCCATAAAGTCTATTCCAAGGAAATTTAAAGCTGGTAGGGTCCATGTTTCCCACAACATAAGGAGAGCCTGAGTAAAAGATCCAATAGAAGCTAGGAAGCCAGGTGATGTGTAATTAGCCCAGTTACTCCCACTGTGCCTGAAATCCACTCCTAGACTCAACTTAGTATTTTCCCTTTTTGTTTAAAGTGGTTTTGAGGAGGTCAGAAGACAACGTCAATTCCCCTGGAGCTGGAGTTATGGATGGTTGTTAACCACCATGTGGGTGCTAGGAATTGAACCCAGATCCTCTGAAAGAGCAACCAGTGCTGTTAACCACTGAGCCGTCTCTCCAGCCCCCAAATCTCCTTTTTTAACTTCAAATTGTTGTTCATTTACATCAATCACAATATTTGTGGGTAATATTTTGTGCTCTATTGTGATAGTGTCCTTCTTGAGCATCAAGGAATGGTTTTTTTTTTTGTTTGGTTGGTTTTGTTTTGGTTTTTTTTCTTTTGTTTTGTTTTTTTGTTTTTTTGTTTTTTTGTTTTTTTGAGATAGGTTCCGCCTGTAGCCCCAGCTGGCCTGGAACTTGCTATATAGACCAAGCTGGCCTGGAACTCACAGAGAATCACCTGCTTCTGCCTTCCCAATGCTGGGATTAAAGGCATGTACGCCCAACAGGGAATATTTTCATATACAAGTCAGAAATTGCAATTCAAAGCAGTATTAAGAAAAATATGGACTGGAGAGATGGCTCAGCAGTTAAGAGCACTGGCTGCTCTTGCACAGGACCTGGTTTTAGTTTCCCCAGGTTCAGTTCCCAGCACCCACAGGGCAGCTAACAACCATCAGTAACTTCAGTTTCAGGGGATCTGACACCCTCTTCTGGCCACCACAGGCATTGCATGCATGAGTGCATTTACATACATGCAAGCAAAACATTCATACATACAAATTTAAATTAAAAATTAAAAAAAAAGAAAAAGATGCCTTTGTTTACATATCCAAGGAAGTCCAGAGGTTTAGTTTACACATGGTTTGATCAGGACTTTGATCCTGTTCCTCTGAAGATCTCTGTACATCAGTGGTCATCAAACCTTAGAATCTTCAAAATAGTCAGCAAGGCTTATTAAAACAGATCAGTGGTTCAGTAGATCTGTCATCCAGGCTGAGCATGCTCATATCTGGTAAGTTACTAAGTACTTTGGCTGCCAGTGCCATTGGTCCAGGATTCATACTCAGAACCACAACTCTCTTTGTCCGGCAGCATCAGGCAGTCTGCACTATGGCGTATGTGGTGGATGGGGTGAAAAAACAGAGAGAAGACTCAGCAGTTAAGAGCACGGGCTGCTCTTGCACAGGACCAGGGTTCAGTTCCCAGCACCCATATGATGGCTAAGAGCCATCCTTAACTCCAGTTTCAGGGCATCCAACACCCTCTTTTGGCCTCTGTGGGCATTGCATGCACATGGTGCACTTACATATATTCAGGCAAAATACATACACAAAATAATAATAAACATTTTCTCCCACCACCATCAAACAAACTTATGTTCTACTCTTAATTAGACCAGCCTGAATTCATCACTGCAGTAAATGTAGACATTAAGCTGAACTACAGACCATAGAAATCCCAAGCATTTGGATTGAAACCCAAGAGTCATTCATTTTCTTCCACATAAAAAGAAGTATGGAGGCAGACAGTTGATGGGTGTGAGGGCTCCATGATGACTCCGGCACCTGGCCTGCTTTTCCTTTCTGCTTTTCCCCTCCAAGGGTGACAGAAACCCCTTGCTAGTTATATTCCAACCATTAAGAATGGTGTTCCAGGCAGCAGGAAGGAGGAAGAACCATGGTGTGTTAGACTTTCGTGTTGCTGTGATTAGAAAAAAAAAAACAAAAAACAAAAAACTGACAGCAACTTTACCATAGAAAGGATTTCTTTTGACCCACAGTTTCAGAGGTTTCTTGGCTTTGTTGATGTAGGGCCTGTTGTGAGGCTCTAGCTTGAACATCATGGCTGTGTGAACTTGTTTCAGAGATGTAGTCATCTCAGGGCATGGAAGCTGAGAGAGGAAGGGACTGGGTTACTACGTATAACCTTCAAAAGCACTGTCTGAAGTGATCAACTTTCTCCAGTTAGTCTCTACCTCCCAATATTGCCACCAACGGGGAACCAAATGTTCAACATGTGAGCCTACTGGACACATTTCACATTGAAACACTAAAACACAGGCAGAAGAATATGTGTCAATATCCCCCTTTCTAAATGACTTTCTAAATACATCCATCAGTGGGTTGACTACTGGTCTCCCCTGTCTGCATGCTAACTGAGAAGGACAGCCTTTACATCTACATATGCCGAAGCTTGAAGAAAGGATGAGTTGGGGCTGGAGAGATGGCTCAGTGGTTAAGAACACAGGCTGTTCTTGCAGAGGAACTGGATGTGATTCCCAGCACCCACATGGCAGCTAACAACCATCTGTAACTCCAGTTCCATGGAATCTGACACCCTCCTTTGGCCTCCGTGGGCATTGCATGATGCGGGTACACTTACATGCAGGCAAAACACTTGTACACATAATTTTAAAGGATGGGTTGTCTTGGTAAGAGAGTGGAGAAACTGGGTGGAAGAGATTATCCTAATGATCCGTGGCTGGGAATGGGGTCATTTCCAGACAACATGATGCTGCACAGTGAAAGATAGATGGAACTGAGGCCAGAGAGGCAGCCATTGCACTGTGTCATGAAAAGGAAGTAGGAGAGGTGACTAGATATACTGAAGGCCCATGGTGATGTGTAATTAGCCTGACTACTGGAGGAAGCCCTGAACTGAGACTCCCAAACATTTTTCCACTTCTGCCAGGCTGACCTTGTCACCTTCGGTGATTTATTCAAACATTCATTCCTCAGTT